TACAAAAAAATACGGAAAAATACGATAAAATTAAAAAAATACGCAAAAATACAGAAAAATACGCTAAAATTAAAAAAATACGGAAAAATACGCAAAAATACAAAAAATACGGAAAAATACACCAAAATTAAAAAAATACGCAAAAATACAAAAAATACGGAAAAATACGCTAAAATACAAAAAATACGGAAAAATACACCAAAATTAAAAAAATACGCAAAAATACAAAAAATACGGAAAAATACACCAAAATTAAAAAAATACGCAAAAATACAAAAAATACGCTAAAATTAAAAAAATACGGAAAAATACGCCAAAATTAAAAAAATACGCAAAAATACAAAAAAATACGGAAAAATACGCTAAAATTAAAAAAAATACGCAAAAATACAGAAAAATACGCTAAAATTAAAAAAATACGGAAAAATACGCAAAAATACAAAAAATACGGAAAAATACACCAAAATTAAAAAAATACGCCAAAATTAAAAAAATACGCAAAAATACAAAAAATACGGAAAAATACGCCAAAATTAGAAAAATACGGAAAAATACAAAAAATACGGAAAAATACGCCAAAATTAAAAAAATACGCTAAAATTAAAAAAATACGGAAAAATACGCTAAAATTAAAAAAATACGGAAAAATATGCCAAAATTAAAAAAATACGCAAAAATACAAAAAATACGGAAAAATACGCCAAAATTAAAAAAATACGCAAAAATACAAAAAATACGGAAAAATACGCCAAAATTAAAAAAATACGCAAAAATACAAAAAATACGGAAAAATACACCAAAATTAAAAAAATACGCAAAAATACGAAAAATACGGAAAAATACGCCAAAATTAAAAAAATACGCCAAAATTAGAAAAATACGCAAAAATACACCAAAATTAAAAAAATACGCAAAAATACAAAAATACTAAATAACTAAAATACATGAAAAGTCGAACAATTTCTAAAATACACAGGAAATTTGGGTATTAGAAGGACTAGACCATCAAACGATCTTTAGTCTTAAAATTTTATTTATAACAAGTGGTTCTTCACGATACAGTGCTCTAAACCCAGTTTCAGTAGTTGTCCTTTACTCTACGTATATTTCAAAAGTGCATTTTGGAAAGTCAATCTAGAAGTCAAATTTGCCATTTGAAAAGAGTGTTCCTGCACGGAGAGAAAAATCAAGCGTTTGTAGTATGGAGACTTCCTATGCTAATTTTGTATGAACGTCCTGCTAAAGAGGCATGTTTTTATACCTCAGTTGCATGAAACATATACTAAAAAAGCATGGATCTCTTGCAATCGTAGTATACTGACGTCCCATGCGTTACAGGTAGAACTTTTATGCTGATAACGTAGAAATTTATACAAATACAGCAGAAGTTTTACGCATATTGCGCATGTGCATTCTTTTACGAAATAAGCTTAACTGTCCATACTACAAACGCTTGATTTTTCTCTCCGTGTGTTTCTCGAGACACAATACTGCATCCACTTAGTCAACCATTAACGGACTAATGTCCGCACAGAAAGTCTTTGCCCCTCAAAATTTGTTGACTTTGAAAGCTTATAATTCTATTAAAAAAATTTTTTCAATTTTGTAATAAACAGTAAATAAAGCCTAGTTTATCTGCGCAAATAAAGATATGCTATTCATAAACAGAAAAAATTTTCTTTCTTATTTGTAATCAAATATGTATAAAAATGTCCCTTAAAAATGACACTTTATAAAATATATGCACTTTCACTAGTCCCTGTGATGTTATTAACAATGGAAAAAATTTACAAAATGTATAGCAGATTTGTTAATATCTAACCTTTATAAAGAAGTTTAAAAAATCCTAAAATTATGTTAATTAACGTTGTAATGAGCAATTTTATGCTAATGTGCTATCTGGCTTTAGAATAAAGATACAGCTTCGCGATAAATTGTAAAATATCAAGTAAAATATTCAAAACTATTTAAGTTAACAAGTTGTTAATTAACAATTTAAATGTTCAAGAAAAAAGCGTTTTTTGAATTGAATATTGAATAGAAAAAAAATGTCAAAAAAATGTACTGCCACTTGCTGCTCGGAAACAGGGATCACCAGTACTACATCTGGGCTTTGGGGTCAGGGATGTATCATGGAATATTGCAGTAGGTGAAGGCCCCTTTAGCATAAAATATTTAAGACTAAATGAAAACTGATAAATAATTAATTATTTATAATTAAGCATAATAATAAATAAATACTAATAATAAATTTAATTTAAATTATAGGTATAAAAAAGTAATTTAAAAAATTCAAATATTTATTATTGCACGGCTAAATAGCCAAGTAACACGTAATATATGTTACTGCAATATTAGTAATAATTCATTGTATAATTACTATGATATTACATGTAATATTACAATGTATTATTACAGTAATATTAAAATATCCACAAAGAGGTAATAATACAGGTAATATTACAGTTATATTTTATGGTAATTGTGAAAATTTCATAAAATTCTTCGTATGTAGAATTTTTTGTACATTTACTGTAATATTAATAATTAATTAATTAATAGTACAATTAATGTAATATTACGATAATATTGTTGTCAAATTACCTGCAGTATTACAGTAATATTACAATATATACCATGTAATATTACCAGTGATATTATCTTAAGGAGCAAATTTTAATATCGCTATAATATTAAATTGTAATATTTTAATATCGCATGTAAATATTATATTAATATTGCGTGTTACTTGAGATTTTTGCATAATTTATATACTCTCTAAAACTGAATCAGTGAAATTTGACTGAGAATCAGTGACTATATTCTCGCGATTTGAATCAGTGAAATTTCACTGAAGATCAGTTTAAAATTAGGGACCGTCCATAAATTACGTAACACGTTTTTAGTGAAATTTTGAACCCCCCCTCCCCCTATGTAACAAGTTGTAACAAAATCGTTTTACACCCCCCCTCCTTATCAATGTTACGTAATTTTTAAAAATATTTTTTTACTAACGTTTTTCGAAACAAATTTGTTTATTACTGTTATTTTTAGTATTTATATCGTACAATAGCAATACAAAATTAAGTTAAATATAAAAAACATTTAGAGGAATAATTTTATTAATCATACTGAACAACCAAAAATATAGCATTGATTTTTTAACAATAAAAATTGTATATTATTCCCAAGAATCGGTTCGCGAAATGATTCGATTTTTACTTATATTGAAGTGGCGGCAAGGGACAGCTTTTCAAAAATTTATCCATTATAAAGAGATTAAGTTCTTTATAAATATTACGTAACAATGATGATTGATCCCCCCTCCCATGTAACATATGATAACATTTTCTCGAACCCCCCCTCCCCCCTAAACGTGTTACGTAATTTATGGACAGCCCCTTATTGAAATTTCAGTCCTTTTTCACTGATTGGTCAATTAAAAAATAACTGAAATTTTCAGTAGTTTTTAATTGTCGAATCAGTGGAAAATGACTGAAATTTCAGTTATTTTTAACTGATTTTCAATGAAATTCCACTGATTCAAATCGCGAGAATAGAGTCACTGATTCTCAGTCAAATTTCACTGATTTTCAGTGGAATTTCACTGATTCAGATTTAGAGAGTAAAATCATTTTATTGCGAAACGTAAAACAAGTGTTTGCACAATTTTATATGCAATGGTTAGCCTGTAAGAAATATTTAATGATTATATGATGGTTGAAACTTTTAGGCCTAAGTGTATACTTCCTAATTAGATTTTAAGTAATTTCTAAGTAAAAAGTAATGGTTCAGTAACGGCAGGGTTTTACTTTTGGTTTCAAAGCAAGTCTAAATTTTCCAATTTAGTCTCTCTTTGCATACTCTGCTGTTATGACAAGGTGAATAGTTTTTGAGTGCATTTATTTTTCGTGTGTTCAAAATGGTTGAATCAATAATTGTGAATAATAAAGAGTTTGAAGTACGAGAAACCAATCGCAATGGGAACTGTTTTTTTCACGCTCTTTCTATTGCTTAAAATATTCGCAGTGCATATGAAATTCGCCAAAAAATAGTGTTGCATGTTATTAACAATTGGCCTGTTTACAAAGATGAAATAAAAAATGTTCTTGATTGCAGTACCTCTGCAAAGTATAGAGATCTTATGAACAAAAGTAATGTCTATGCTTCGTTATTAGAATGTCGGGCGGCTTCTGAATGTTATAACGTTAATGTGACTGTTATTCGGTTATTACAAAATAAGGATTTCTTTACTTTACCATTTGAAATAAATACAAACTCCCCAACAATATTCCTGCTTCTGACAGGAATGCATACTGCTAACAGTAATACTGGACATTTTCAACTTTTAATTCCGAAAGTTGTAAATGAAATTATGGAAACATGTGAAGTTTCTGATGACAATTGCAACGTTATTGGAATAGAAGAAAGTGAAGTTATTGAAGTTCCTGTTGACTTATCAATGCCTGTGTTACAAAGTGAAATTTGTGATAGTACTATTGACTTGTCAGTATCTACAGAAGAAAGTGACATAAGCGATATTGAAAATATAGATCCAGCCGAATTAAGTTATTGTAAAAAAAATTTTCAACCCAGAGAAAAGCAAATAATAATCAATGTAAGGAAATACTTTCAAGCAGAAAAAGATGCTGGAAATTCAAATGATATAAATCAAGTAGTGTTACGGACTTCTCAGTGTACAAAAATTTCTGAAAGAACAGTGAAAATGATTAGTAAACAGTGGAAAAGTAGGCAGCTGTTTGAGCAAAAAGAAAAAAGTGGAAGACCTCCTATTGAATGTGATGAATTTTTACAGAATGCAATAAGAAGGAAAATTTATGAATTTTATGTTCAAAAGCAATATCCAACAGTGACAGACCTCCACACAAAATTAAGGGAAGATATTTTTGACCTACCAGAATTTAGCGACAGCACACTACGCAATTGGATGAAAAACCTTAAAATTTTCGTTTACCAAACTTAGACATAAGCCAATTTGGATGGAGAGTAATAAAATACGTGCACAAAGGGCAGATTATCTTATGGAAATTGAAAAACATAGGGAGAATGATTTTAAAATTTATTATACCGATGAGACTTGGTGCGGAAAAAACCATACACGTCAATTTGGTTGGATAGAAAAAATCTCAGAGAAAGATTTTTCAAATTTTGATCAATATCGAGGATCAGTTCAAGAAATTGACGGATTTCGTGGTGGATTTGTGAAACCGTCAGGAGCAGGAAAAAGAATTATAATTCTTCATATTGGAAGTTCTGATGGCTTTTTACCGAACGGTATGAATTGTTTCATTGCAAAAAAAGACTCAGCAGACTATCATAATGAAATGAATTCACAACATTATGAAGAATGGTTTCGTACAATTTTAAATTTAATCCCTTCAAAGTCAGTGATAGTTTTGGACCAAGCAACCTATCACACAACAATCGATCCTGAATTTCGGAACCCAACAACAGCATGGAGAAAAGATGATATAATAGAATGGGCTGAGAATCGCAAAGTTCCTCTGCCAGAAGGAAGATTAACGTATTATTCCCTTACAAAACCACAATTAATTGAGCGATGTCGTCCGTACCATTTCCCGAAAATATATAAATTAGACACTATTACAAAAGAAATTCGTGGTGATGAAGTTAAGCTACTTTGGTTACCAGTTGCACACTGCGAATTCAATCCGATAGAGCTAATTTGGGCATTTGTTAAGAATTATGTAGCGAAGCACAATACAACTTTTAAATTGCAAGATGTCTATAACTTGTGTGTGCATGCAATGGAGAATGTTCCTGAAGATTTGTGGTCAAAGTGTTGTAATCATTCCTTAAAAGAAGAAAATAAATACAGAGAATCAGAATCAATAGTACAGCACAATGTTGATAATATCATAATTCAAGTAAGAGCAAACGATAGTGACACAGATAGCTACAATAGTAGCGAAAATGAGGATTTAGAAGAATATTAAAATGTTTCTAATGGTGAGAATTTGTAATTATTATTAATATTATTATTCCATGACAGTACATAATCTTGAGGCAAAATTTCTGCAATGTTTATGCGAGCTAAATATGTCTTACCTCGCAACCTTGAAATGCAACGTTGCCACAAAATTGAACAGTAATCATGCCGTGTAAAGTTGCTGCAAAGTTATTGTGCAATGTAGTCACAAAGTATACCTTACTGCAACATTGCTTACACTACGTGGGAACATTGCGACAATGTTGCCGCAAGGTTATGTGCTGTCTGGGTTATTATATTTATTATTATTATCTTTACTATTATTATTTCTGCGCAGGTAATGGTACAGCAGCATTGGAAACCTATAATGCACGAGCACATTTTATTTAACATAATACGTTCAATGGCTGTTCAGTAATTTTATTTTAAAGTAAAAACATTTACAAAAATTTGAAAAATAAAATATGTACAAATAGTAAAAAAAAAATTAATTATAATAATTTCATGACGCCTATTTATTATCCTAAGTAGCAAGTAATATTATAGGTAATGATACAACAATGTTGCACGATAATAATAGAGTATAAAAAATTCTTCTTATACAAAATTTTGCGTTCTTTCTTTTACTGTAACATCACAGTAATATTACCATGTAATATTACCATGTAATATTCACATGTAATATTACCATGTAATATTACCATTTAATATTACCATGTAATATTACCATTTTAAAATTACCATTTAATATTACCATGTAATATTAGCATTGAATATTACCATGTAATATTACCATTTAATATTACCATGTAATATTACCATTTAATATTACCATTTTAAAATTACCATTTAATATTACCATGTAATATTACCATGTAATATTACCATTTAATATTACCATGTAATATTATCATGTAATATTACCATGTTAATATTACCATGTTAATATTACATGGTATTATTACATGACAATATTAACATTTGGCACAGCATTGAAGGGTTTTCAGCTATTCTGATTTCGTCGGTTGAGTGCAGAAAGGTGTCAATTCAGACTAGTCGTGAAAAACGTGCCGTTTCAAAAAACACATGAGAAACTTGCCATTTCAACTGAGATTTGAAAAACATGCCAACTCAGAATTGACGTTCATTTTTTTATTTTAGGTTGACACTTGTCAGTACAGAAAAAATTTGAAGAAAAGGTTATAAAGTTATACAAAAATGATTTTTCTAGTTGCATTTTGCATAATTGTTATTTTTTTTAAAGGAATATTTTGGACTAATTTATTAAATTAATTTGTTGATTATTTATTATTTGATGAACAACCTCTTTCTTGTACTTCAAATTAAAAAAATGAACGTCAATTCTGAGTTAGCAATTTAGCATGTTTTCCAAATCTCAGCTCAAATGGTAGATTTCTCACGTGTTTTTCACGACTAGTCTGAATTGGCACCATTCTGTACCCAGCCGACGATTTTCCATGACACATCCCTGACTTTAAAGGCCTACAAGGGATTGGCCTTGAAATTGACCGTAAGAAACTCTCCGGTCGGCAAGTTGCACTTGTCTATGCGACCCTTTTTTTCTACGTTTTTTTTTGCTAAAAGTGAAATCGACACCTCATTAAAAATTGAAAACTTTCTAAAGGGATAGAGAGCAAAATTTAAATTGCATTCAGATACAAGTCTTCAAATTTTGTTTAATTTTCCAAAATATACATTTTACAATTTATCGCGAAGCTGTATCTTTATTCTAAAGCCAGATAGCACATTAGCATAAAATTGCTCATTACAACGTTAATTAACATAATTTTAGGATTTTTTAAACTTCTTTATAAAGGTTAGATATTAACAAATCTGCTATACATTTTGTAAATTTTTTCCATTGTTAATAACATCACAGGGACTAGTGAAAGTGCATATATTTTATAAAGTGTCATTTTTAAGGGACATTTTTATACATATTTGATTACAAATAAGAAAGAAAATTTTTTCTGTTTATGAATAGCATATCTTTATTTGCGCAGATAAACTAGGCTTTATTTACTGTTTATTACAAAATTGAAAAATTTTTTTTAATAGAATTATAAGCTTTCAAAGTCAACAAATTTTGAGGGGCAAAGACTTTCTGTGCGGACATTAGTGCCATTATACCTGAGCGACTAGCATCACCCTTTGTCCCAAGGTAAACAATCAACCACTCTAAGACTCACATTAGAAAGCCTATGTCCATCTCTTATTTTCATCAATTTTATCTTATTTTATAAAATACACATATGAGGCATTTTACGTGAAATGTCCTAAGTTGAAATTTCAACTTCTTGAAAAAAATTGAAACTCGAGGAATTTGTTGTTCTATCAAGTAGAAATGTGACCCAAAAAATATTTTTGATTTTTTCGAAAAATTGGAGGGGGTAGAGGGGGTTCAATTTGACCAATTTTGCCAACATCGGCTACTTTGTGAATTTTTTCTGAACATACTTGTAATGGGAAAAATTTTTTAGAATATGTTTCTGAAAGGTTTTTTCGTCCTCTTTCCAATAGTGTATTTTATTTTTTAATATTTTAAAAATTTACCCTAATTTTTGATAATTTATATTTAATTTTCAATTTCCCAAAAATCGGTCCGTTTTTTTTTAAAATAAATTATTGCAAACGAAAGCTGAGGTTTTTTCCTATCGGCATGTAAATTTTCAGAATGCCCTTTTTTTTTGTTTTTGAGTTATTGAATTTCAAAGAATAAATTGCGGCGCGCTGCGTCGCGGTTGCACTGAGCCGCGTGGCAACCCATGGCAACCGGCGTGAGACGAGGCGCCCGGGACGCTGCGCGCCGCAATTTATTCTTTGAAATTCAATAACTCAAAAACAAAAAAAAAGGGCATTCTGAAAATTTACATGCCGATAGGAAAAAACCTCAGCTTTCGTTTGCAATAATTTATTTTAAAAAAAAACGGACCGATTTTTGGGAAATTGAAAATTAAATATAAATTATCAAAAATTAGGGTAAATTTTTAAAATATTAAAAAATAAAATACACCATTGGAAAGAGGACGAAAAAACCTTTCAGAAACATATTCTAAAAAAATTTTCCCATTACAAGTATGTTCAGAAAAAATTCACAAAGTAGCCGATGTTGGCAAAATTGGTCAAATTGACCCCCCTCTACCCCCTCCAATTTTTCGAAAAAATCAAAAATATTTTTTGGGTCACATTTCTACTTGATAGAACAACAAATTCCTCGAGTTTCAATTTTTTTCAAGAAGTTGAAATTTCAACTTAGGACATTTCACGTAAAATGCCTCATATATTGGTTCAACTAAAGTAATTTCTTGTTATTTACTACCCCGTCCCTATTTTAATTAATTTTAAAATAAAATCGGGAAACATTAGGGAAATTATAATAATTAGGATCGTAACACTACTAAACAATGTTTGTAACAATATTATCTAAGAAACAAAATTGTTTTGTTGGAAAAAAATTAGTTTATCAGAAAATAGTTTTGCTTCTTACAAAACAATTTTATTTTTTGGAAAATAATTTTGTTTTACACAAAATAAGTTTGTTTTTACAAAAAAATATTGTTTTTTCACAAATAATATTATTTTTTACAAAATAAATTTGTTTCCTACAAAATAATATTGTTTTTTGGAAAATCATTTTCGTTTTTTACAAAATAATTTTGTTCATTACAGAACAATTTCATTTTCAGTAAAACATTTTTATCTCTTACAAAACGATTTTGTTTCTTAGCAAAAATAATTTTTGTTTTCTACAAAAAAAATTTGACTTTTACAAAAAAAAACTTATTTTGTAGGAAACAAAATTATTTTCCAAAAAACAAAATTGTTTTGTGGGAAAAATTTTTGTTTATTAGAAAATAATTTTGTTTCCTATAAAACAATTTTGTTACTTGAAAAATAATTTTATTTTACACAAAATAAGTTTGTTTTTGACAAAAATAATATGGTTAATTACAAAACATTTTTGTTTCTTAAACAACAATTTTATTTCTAATAAAACAATTTTGATTTTTAGAAAACAATTTTGTTTCTTATAAAACAATTTTATTTCTTCCAAAACAATTTTGTTTCTATCAAATCAATTTTATTTCTTACAAAACAATTTTGTTTCTTCAATTAGAACCAAATTTCTTTAATTTAGCAATTTTAATTTAAAATACAGTGAAAAAATAATTTTTTTTCCCTTAAATTAATTTGTAACTTTGGTTGGTTGTTAATTCGAATAAAAAAATTATTGTATTTTACGGAATCAATAACTGCTTTATTATAATAATTCCTTGCAATAATTAACTTATTGACAGATTTTTTTTACAAATTTCGTGAAAAATAGATGGAAAATGTTTCACATATCAGAAGTACTGTATTTATAAGCTTCCTCCCTCCGGGCTTTCTTCGCGTTTTGTGCCTCGAACCATTTTTTCTCATAGCCATTGCTACGATCGACACCATCCCATTTTTCATCTGGCAAAATACCGAAGCGATTAGGAGGTGCTGATAGTTGCTGCTTGGTAGCTAAAAACAAAAACAATTGCTATTAATTATTATTATTTTTATCGATTATTTCTTTGAAATTTTTAAAAGAACAAAAAAACGAAACAGAATTTTTTTACAATTTAAATTTATCTCAAATTTTTCAGATATTACTTTTTACTTAAAGGACAATTGCTCAAACACAATATGAATTTAAAATACATTTTTTTTTCGTTTTGAAAAACCTTGAAGGAAATTTTTAAACAAAAAAATTCTTCTTTTCAAAAATAATTTTTTTTTTGCGTCTAAAAATTAACTATAAATTTAGTGAACTTCAAGGAGGTTGTGAAATAAATTGCACCTGTTTTAATTAGGCCTTGCTCTTCCAATTTATCTCTGCCGAATTGCAACATAGGATCATCATCGCGAATTGTATTTTTCTGCAATCTCACAAGATCCTCATCATCTTCGTATCTAGCTAAAGGCTTCTTCATTTCGTGGAGGTCGTCCCTCAATTTCTCCTCACGATCTTCATCTTGCTTCAGTCTAAAAGAAAATTCCCACTTATTGTTTCGTTCGATTTTTACTAACAACAACTATTCAATAATTTAATTAAATAATTCTTATTAAATTAATTTCAATTTAATTGAATGCTTATTAAATTAATCTCAATTTAATTGAATCCTTATTAAATTCAGTTCAATTTAATTGAATTCTTATTAAATTAAGTTCAATTCAATTAAATTTTTATTAAAGTAATTTTAATTTACCTAATTAAATTTGTATTAAATTAAATTCTATTTAATTTAATTGAATTCTTATTAAATTAAATTCTATTATACGAAACTAAATTGTATCATATTACACACAATTATATTAAATTAAATTCTTCATTTACCCTCGTCCCCATTTTGCATATTGTTCATTCACTTCTCGCTGTTTTTCCTGTTTTTCACGTTCCACAGCAGCTTCCGCTTGCAAATCTCGTCTTCTTCCAGTTTTTCTGTCTCGAATAACAATCGATTGACCCTGTCCACTTACTTCTGCACTTAACTGAAACAAGTTTAATTAATTTTAGAAAAATACCACACAATTCATTATATATAAATATTATTGTTTCTTGATTGGCTATAAAATATTTCGAAAAATAGCCCAGAAATTAATGCGAATAAATTAATAAAAATAAAATATACAAAATAATTTTTTTGAAAAAAAAAATACAAATTAAAAAAAAAATATTGTCCTTCATTTGAACGTCAAAAACTTTAGAAACGTTAGAAATAAAATAAAGAATAGTAAAAAATAAACATAGTAATAAAAATGGAATAAATAATAGAAATAAATAAAAATTCAATAAATAATAGCAGTAAATAAAAATTCAGTGAATAATATCAATAAATAAAAATAACAATAGAAAAAAATAGTAGAAATTAATATTCCAGAAATTAATCCGAATAAATATATTTTTTAATAAAAAAAATAATAGTAATAAATAAAAAATCAATTTTTCATAATAATTGTAATTGATTATCGTCCTTTTTTATAAAAGTTATTAATTACAGAAAATATTTAACCAAAAATATTGAAATAATTTTAAATAATTTTTGGAAGTTAAATAGGTTTTTAATTTACACAATTGAAATATTTCCAAATAATTGAAATTTAGTAAAATCTTATAAAAATAAAATTGAAATTTTGAAAATAATTGATTTTTAAAAAATTAGAAGGAAAAAGTTCTAAAAATTAGATTTTTCCAAAAATATTTTAATATAATTTTTAGAAGCTAATTTTCATATTTATAAATTTACACTTGAAGATTTTTCATTAAAATTTTTGAGAATTCAATTATTTTCAAAATTTGCAATTAAAATTCTTTAAAAGTTGATTTTCAAAAATTGTAATAAAATACTTGAAAAAATTAATTATTTTCAGGTAAATTTTACAAAATTCAAACATTTAAAGATTATAATTTGATACCTTTTAAAAATTCAATTATTTCTAAATATTCACGCTATAATACTTTCTCTCTAAATTTAAATTAGTAAAAATGTTTACTTATTGGAATTAGTGACTGACTTTTTGCTTTTGAATTAGTAAATTTTACTATTAAATTAGTGGAAACGACTATTTATTAGTAAAATTTGCTAATTCAAAAGCAAAAGGTCAGTCACTAATTCAAATCAGAAAACATGTTTACATTTAAAGAATTCTATCAACAAATTTTTAAATAGATAATTAAAATACATTTGACGAATTTCAATAAAATTTTTAAAAATAATTTCATTTTTCGAGAAATTAGATTAAAATTGTATTAAAAATAATTGATTCTCTGTTAAAGAAATTTGATTGAATTGAGAAAAATTTTTGAAAATAATTGAAATTTTGCCAAGAATTTTATTAACATTTTTGAAAATAATTGAATTTTGGAGGAAAATTTCATTATTTATAAAAATAATTAAAATTTTGAAAAGATTTTTTCAAAATTTCTACCATAATTGAATTTCTGCGAAGAATTTTATTACTTTTGAAAATAATTGAATTCTTGAGACGAATTTTAATAATATTTCTTTTTAAATAATTAAATTCTTTTGTGAAATTTTATTGAAATACTAGATATTGAAAATAATTGAATTTTGATAAATTATTGAAAACTAATTAAATTTCTACTAATTAAATTTCTATTTTTTCTTTTCTAAAAAGAATTTTATTAAAATTTTTGAAAATAATTTAATTCTTTCAAGAAATTTAATTAAAAATGTATTGACAATAATACTTAAATTCTAATAAATAAATTATAGGAAGGTTTTTTAAAATAATTGAATTTCTTTGATGAATTTTAATAAAATTTTTAAGAATAATTACATTTTTCGTGAAATTCCATTAAAATTGTTATTAAAAATAATTGAAATTCGGCGATGAGTTTTATTATTTATAAAAATCAATGAAAACCCATAAAGTTTTTTATTATTTATGAAAATAATTGAATCTCTGTGAAAAATTTGATTAAATTGAGAAAAGTTTTTGAAAACAATTGAAATTTTGCCAAGAATTTTATTAAAATTTTTGAAAATAATTGAATTTTGGAGAAAAATTTTATTATTTTTAAAGATAATTGAAATTTTGACTATAATTTTTAAACTTTTGACCATAATTGAATTTCTGCGACAAAATTTTATTACTTTTGAAAATAATTGAATTCTTGAGACGAATTTTAATAATATTTCTTTTTAAATAATTGAATTCTTTTGTGAAATTTTATTGGAATAGTAGATATTGAAAATAATTGAATTTTGATAAATTATTGAAATTTATGTAAAGAATTTGTAAATAATAGAATTCCTGGGAAATTTTTATTATTTAATTAATTCATTCAAAATTGAAATTTTACAAAATTTTAAATTAAAACCTTTTGAAGTTGATCTATTTATGAAAATTGTAAACGCAACTCTTTTAAAATTGAATTAATTTTGAAATATTTAAGAAAAATTAGATTTCAAGAATAAGCACAATAACTTTAGAAAACAATAATTTTCCAGGATTCCGATAAAAATTTCCTTACTTTTCCAGGTTTTTTTCAAGGTTTATAAAATTCCCTGACATTTAACCTGAATTAAAAAAAATGTAAAAACAAAAAATAATTTGAAATTATTTTTTTCAGTTTCAATTTTCCGTAATTTAATTAAATTTTTAATTTATTACTTTGTAAAATAAAAATAAATACCTTATTGAACATGTCAGCTTCCCTTTTCCTGTGAGCAGCCGTTTCCTCTCGTAAAGCTTTTGCGTCCTGTAATCCCGCTTGTTTACCGTCTAAAGTCTTCTTCATTCGCTTATCCCTGTCGACTTCCGGACTTTTTGATCTACTCTCACGATTCCATCTCGATTTTCTCGGCTGTCTTGACGATGATGCTGCTGCTGCTGCTGCTGGTGACTCTGATCTCCTTCTATTTCTCCTTTCCGGTGAATTCCTCTCGAAATTACGTCTATTGTCGCCTCGCTGCCTGTCGAATCTCTCATTTTTATCCTGCCTTCTCTCCCTGTTCCTGGAACTTTCCACCTCATGATATTTCGAATGTGAATCATATTTTCTTCGATTCGAATCAAATTTCTCGTGTTTATTTCTATTGTCCCTCCGTGGCGGACTCGATTCGTATTTTTTATTCATTCCCCTTCGAGGTGGACTCAGATCTGAATTGTTGTCGTTCTGTCTCGATTTTCTTGGGGGACTTTGATCGGAATCGTAATTTTTGTTTTTGTCCCTTCTTGGTGGACTTAGATCGGAATCGGAATTGTTCGCCTTCTTTCTTGATTTCTCCTTTCTTGGGGGACTTAGATCTGAATCGTAGGTTTTCTTTTTGTCCCTTCTTGGCGGACTGAGATCTGAATCGTAATTTTTCTTTTTCGTCTTCCTCGGAGGACTTGGATCTGAATCGTATTTTTCCTTTCTCGACTTCCTCGGTGGACTCAAGTCGGAATCGTAATTTTTCTTTTTGGATCTTCTCGGTGGACTTTGATCGGAATCGGAATTTCTACTCTTTGATTTTCCTTCTTTAGATTTTCTTCGTGGTGGACTTAAATCAGAATCGTAATTTTTCTTTTTCGTCTTTCTCGGAGGACTTGGATCTGAATCGTATTTCTCCTTCCTCGACTTCCTCGGTGGACTCGAATCTGAATCGTAATTTTTCTTTTTCGCCTTCCTCGGTGGACTCGAGTCAGAATCACATTTTGCTTTCCCCGATTTTCTAGGCGGACTCAAATCGGAATCGTTTGACTTCTTTTTCGATTTTCTAGGTGGACTGGAAATATTTCCACTTCTTTCTGGACTCGATTCGGAAGAATCTCTTCGTTTACTCGATTTTTGCTTTTTCTGTCTCGGTGGACTAAAATCGTCGGCAGAATCAGAATTATTTTTCCCCGTCTCTTCTTGTTGCTCCTCCCGCGAATTTTCATCGAAATCATTATCTTCGTCTCTTCTACTGGTCCTCTGCTCCTTAATGCTAATATCACCCATTCCATCGTCAGCGATAATTCTCCATTTACTCTTGTCGGAAAAATCCGTTGGTCCTCGATCATCGACAATGCCGACAATTTGCGGAGCATCCTCTGTGTTGTTTAGAATTTCAAATTCAGCGTCGTCTAGGGGTCTGAGTTTCTGCAGGTCTATGTCGTCATCAATGATTTTCACTCTAGAAAAAACATACTTAAAAATTTTCACAACTGACGAAATAATTTTTTAAATATATAATTTATGTTCCTAAAGTTTTTGAACGTTCAAATAAACGATAATTTTTTTTACTAAAGAATACAATTATTTTTGAAAATATTAATTAAATTCGATTATTTTCAAGAATTTTAATATAAATTCAATTATTTAGAAGAATTTTCATAAAAATTCAATTATTATCAACAATTCAGATAAAATTCTTCGAAACAATTCAATTATTTTTATAAAATTGTAAATTCTTGACAAGAAATCAATTATTTTTATAAATAATAAAATTCTTCTGAATAATTTAATTATTTTCAAACCAATTTTAATAAAATTTCTAGGAAAATAAATTATTAAAAAAAAACTGCATTATTTTCAAGAAAATTGAAAAAAAAATTCTTCAAAACATTTCAATTATTTTAAAGAATTTGAATAAAAATCTTAGCAATAATTATATTATTTTCAATAAAATTTTAATTACATTTTGTCGAAAGAATTCAATTATTAAAAAAAATGTTGATAAAATTCTTTTAATGAATTCAATTATTTTCAAATTTTTTGATAAATACTTTGCAAGAATTCAATGATTGGCAGTAAATTAATTTTAAAATTAAAAACATTTAAAAAGAAAAATTATTTCAAATGTTAGAAAACAAAAGATCAAACTGCGAACAGATTGCCGGAATACAACGATTATTATTAATATAGATTGTTTAGAAAATATTCAAACAAAAAAAAAATTCGTTCATTTAAACGTTCAAAACTTTAGAAAAATTATAATTTCATAATTTTCTAATTTATCATTTTTTATAATATGTAATTTTGGGATTTTCTAAAAATGCACAAAGGCAAAATAGGTTTAAAATTTGAGTATAGTGACACTACTACAACGTTCCGCATGTAATTCATCTAATTACTGTAATTATTCTAATTATTGAAATTACTGTAATTGTTGTTCATTGCGTGTCATTCAATTTTACACGAAAGTGAAATTGTATGAAAATTCACGTAAATATTCCAAATATTTCACGTCCGGAGAGGTTGCTTTTATTGGGAAATTATCAAGATAACCTAAAAATGTAAGAGACAACTTTATAATCGAAGTAAAAATAGTGAAAGGACCATACAGAATACAACTTACGTTTGTACACCTATTTTCTTCTTTTTCTTCTTCTTCTTTTTGTCATCGCCGGAGAGATATCTCTTCAGATATTCTTTTTGATTGATTTTTGCTGTTGACATTGTGATTTTCGTGATTTTACGGAACAAAACATTGACATTTCGAGGTTATGTTATGTTTCTGTCATTCTGTCGTTGTCGTTTCAAAGTTTCATGGTCGTTTCTGTCTTTTGTTTTGGTGGTGGTCACAGTGGTTACCTGTTGAAAAATGTAGTGGCAACAGTGACCGAGGCGGGGAATTTCAAATGTTTGAATTACTTAATTTCGGTTTATTGTTCATTATTTATTATTTAGTATTTATTTTTTTACTATTTACGGATTATTATTTACTATTTTCTTACTATTCACTATATTTATCATTTACTACTTATTTTTTACTACTTACTATTTATTATTTAGGATATTTATTATTTACTCTTTATTATTTACTATTTAGTAAATATTAGTTTATAAAATAAAAATATTAATATTAAATAATAAAATCAATCAAAAGAAGAAAGAACATCGAAATAGAAAAAAACCAATAAAGGAGAAAGTCGAAAAAATCAAAAAGGAAAAAAATCGAAAAAGGGAAAAAATCAAAGGGAGAAAGAAATTCAAAATAGAAAAAAATAAAAAAAAGGAAAAAAATCAAAAGAGAAAGAAGATCAAAATGGGAAAAAATAAAAAGATCAAAAATCGAAAAAAGGAAAGAAATAAAAAGAGAAAAAAATCAAAATAGAAAGAAAATCAAAACAGAAAAAAACCAAAAGAGGGAAAATTCAAAATAGAAAAAAATTAAAACAGAAAAATTCGAAAAAGGGAAAAAGCAAAAGAAGAAAGAAAATCGAAATGGACAAAAATAAAAAGAGAAAAAGTCGAAAAAAGGAAAGAAATAAGAAGAGAAGAAAATAAAAAGAAAAAGGAAATTCAAATAGAAAAAAATTAAAAGAGGAAAAAGTCGAAACAGAAAAAAATCAAAACAGGAAAAATCAAAAAGGAAGAAAAATCGAAAAAGGGAAAAAATCAAAAGGAGAAGGAAAATCAAAATAGAGTAAAAAATCGAAAAAGGAAAAGACATAAAAAGAGAAAAAAAAATCAAAATAGAAAGAAAATCAAATAAATAGAAAAAAAACCAAAAGAGAAAAAAGTCGAAGTAGAAAAAAATCAAAACAGACAAAATCAAAAAGGAAGAGAAAACGAAAAAGGGAAAAAAATCAAAAGGAGAAAGAAAATCGAAATGGAAAAAAATAAAAAGAGAAAAAATCGAAAAAGGAAAAGACATATAGAAAGAGAAAAAAATTAAAATAGAAAAAAATCGAAATAGAAAAAAACGAAAAGAGGAAAAAAATCGAAAGAGAAAGAAAATCCAAATAGAAAAAAACCAAAAGAGGAAAATGTCGAAATAGAAAAAAAAACGAAACAGATAAAATCAAAAAGGAAGAAAAATCGAAAAAGGGGAAAAATCAAAAGGAGAAAGAAAATCGAAATAGGAAAAAATAAAAACAGAAAAAATAAAAATAAAATCCAAATAGAAAAAAACTAAGAGGAAAAAGTCGAAATACAAAAAAATCAAAACAGAAAAATCAAAAAAGAAGAAAAATCGAAAAAGGGGAAAAATCAAAAGGAGAAAAAAATCGAAATAGAAAAAAATAGGAAGAGAAAAAAATCGAAAAAAAGGAAAAGAAATAAAAATAGAAAAAAAATGGAAAAATCAAAAAAATTGAAATTAAAGAAGAGATAAAAAATTGAGATGCAGCAGCGAATCAATGGGAATTCCTAGGATTGGCCCAAGTCGAGACCAGGTATATCAGGTAACATCAACGATTGGAGAACCAAGAGCGTGAATGTGGTAGGGGAGCGAAAGTGAACTGAACACCAAGAATGGGCAGGAAGAGGTAGGGTCCTTGATGTGGTCTCCAGCAGAAAGTTTCACGCGCCGATGCAGTTGCCTTTTGACAAGCATGTATGCCACGAATTTTCATTCCAAAAAAAACACAATTAACGTACTTATTATATAACTAAAAAGAAAAATTCAACTCTACTTGCCACCAACACCAAAAAAAAAATGGCAAAACGAAAATTCACACCAAGAGACGATAATTCACATTTTACCAGAGACTAAAAAAGTGGAAAAAAGAGAAAAATTTCTTTAAAAAAAAAGAAGAGTGAAGAGATAAAAGAAAAACCGCGTGTTAAAGCTATGGTAAACTAAAACTAGATCCAGAAAAGTGTGATATCTCTCTCCATTAAAAGTTGCATATGAAGTACTCTTCATCCTTGATGCAACATTCAGTGGTCAAACCTCGTAACGATTACAACATCACTGCTTTATTCAAAGTTGGAAAAAGTATAGAATTTCAGAGAGAAAATAAAATATAATCGCCTATATCGAAAATGACTCGCAAGTTGAGTAAATTTTTAATTCTTTTTGATAATACAAATTTACTTTATTTTCCGGGACATTTCTTGTCTGGGAGGGTCCTCATCGAATTGGACGATGAAGCATAGTAAGTTTCAAAGAATTTCATATTTTTCTCTCTTTTTGTATATATGGAAAAAAAATATTCTCTCCGTGACTTTCAAATATTTCTCTAAAATTTTTTAATCATTTTTATTTTTTCTTATTTGTTTAATTGTAATTTAGAAAGTTTATAAACGACAACCAGTTTAGTGTGTTAAAAATTTAATGTAATTCCATTTCGTTATATTTGCGTAAATGCCTCCCACATTTTGTTACATCTGAGACCTTGAAAATTGAAAAACCTATCTCTCATTTGTAGAATTCATTTGTAAAATAGTAGACACAAGGAATTTTTCTTTTAAATTAAATTTAGAAATGTAAATAAATTTTAGTTGATGAATTACATAAAATTATCTTCTTTAGACTGTTATTATTATTATTATTATTATTATTATTATTATTATTATTATTATTATTATTATTATTATTATTATTATTATTATTATTATTATTATTATTATTATTATTATTATTATTATTATTATTATTATTATTATTATTATTTTATTTAATTATTTAATTATTTATTTATAAAAAATATTTTTTATTCAACCTGACTCAGAGTGATCGTTACCATCTTTTTTACTATTATTAATTTTATTTTTTTTAATATTATTATACTGAAATGAAATTTTATTCTTTCTAACTTTAAATTAGGAGAATGTTTACCAATTTGAATTATTAACTGACATTTTGCTATTGAGTTAGTAAATCTAACTAATCAATTAGTAGAAATTGCTATTTATTAGTAAAATTCAAAAATAAAAATTCAAAAAATGAAACTAAAAAAATAGTAAAACTATTAGTATAAATTATTATTTATTAGGAAACTTTAAATTTTAAAAATGAAAATGAATACAAATGAAAATAAGAGAATAATAAAAAATAAATTAGTAGAATGTATTACTTATTAGTAAAATTTACTAATTCAATTAATAAATCTAACTAATAAATTAGTAAAAATGACTCTTTATTAGTAAAATTTAAAAATAAAAATAAAAAAATTAAATTAAAAAAATAGTAAAACTATTAGTAGAAATTACTATTTATTAGGAAACTTAAAAAATGAAAATGAAAACACATGAAATTAAAAAAATAGTAAAACATAAATTAGTAGAAAGTACTACTTATTAGTAAAATTTACTAATTCAATTAGTAAATCTAATTATTGAATTAGTATAAATTACTATATTGATTAGTAAAAATTAAAAATAAAAATATAAAAAATAGCCTAAAAAATAAATTAGTAGAAATTACTATTAATTAGTTAGATTTTTTAATTAAAAACCAAAAAGTCAGTCACTAATTCAAATTAATAAATATTTTTACTAATTCAAATTTAGAGAGTTTGATTCTAATAACTAATTTACTTGCCTATTATCAAATAAATATTTCTTTTAATCATATCATTTTCCTATTTAAATCAAATAAATTGTATTCAAGCCAATAAATTCAGGAATTAAAAATTAAATCAAATAAATTGCATATTCAAACCCAACTACTGAAATATTATTGGTTCAAATACGATTTTAATTGGTTCCAATAAAAATTATTTGAAATGGAAATTATTTAAGTAAATATTTCTTTGATAATAGACAAATTATTGGTATTATTTTGAATCGAATAAATTTTTTTCCATTGTTTATTTTTGTCTTTTAATTTAATTATTTATTATCATTATTATAATTATTTAGCGTCTGGGATTCTTTTTATTGATTTAGAAAAAAAAATTAAATTTTCTTTATCAAGATTCGTATTTTATTATTATTTTATTACACTGCAGATTTTCGTGTGATTGAACTTACTTAATTGATGTCGGGATTGATTTTCCTATATTTGCGAGAGGATATGAATATTTTATTGCCCAGTAAAAATAGTTTCATTGGGTCACATAAGAAGAAATTAATTTAAGAGAATATTATTGGAAGTTTTTCTATATTCTGTGCTTTTGAAAAAAATGAAATATTTTTTAACTGTTTTTTGCGTTAAATAATTTTATTTATTATTATTATTATTACATAATTGGTAATTGAAAATTAGCAATTAAAAATTAGTAATTGAAAAGTAAAAAACTGGTAATAATCACTAATTCGTAATGTCTATTATTAGTAACTTATTTTTACGATTTGTTTATAACTGTATTGGCATTTAGAGAAAATATTTGCGAATAATTATTACCGTTCTATACGTAACCAATATGCAAATTAAGATGCATCTAAAAAAAGATGAAGTAATGTAATTTAATCGACAAAGGAAAATTTTTCTCAGGTAAATGTATTGTGAGAACTGACGTGTTACATATATCCATACGCGTTGAGAGCGATCACTTTTAGTTTCTATTTTCGAGGACGAAAAATTCAAAAGCAAATTTCATTGTCTCAGATGTAAATTATTCTGAGAGGAAACCCTCAATTATTCTTCTCATCCAGTTCAAGCGATAATTTTAGATGAAAATTATTCAAAATTGTATTTATATTGCAATATCAATAGCATTTTTGATTTTATCTTTATTTAGTTTCATTTTTTATTCTTCATGTATTTTTATTTACATTATTTTTTTAATTATTTGTATTTTTTATTGTTCACTTATTATTTATTTTGTATTTTTATTTGTATACACTTATTTTCTTATCTTATTTTTTTATTTACCTATTCTTAATGTATTATTTTTATTTTCATTCTATTTTTATTCGTTAATATTAATATTTTTCTTAAATTTTTTTTTTTTTTTTTTAATATTTTTCGTTAATTATTTATTTTTAATAAAATTTGGATAAGAAAAGTAGTTCGTAAAATTTAAAATATCGATTACAAAAGTTTGTATAAAGCTGTAGAAAAGAATTTTTTATTACCACTTAAAAGTTGAAAAATTTAGAGAAATCTGATAAAGTTTTATAATTTGCATTTTGTCTCGAAAATAATTTCTTGTTTTTTGATAAATTTAATGAAAATTGGGAAAAAGAAAAATTTATTCCATTTTTTTTTTAGTGTTTCGGGTTTACATTTTCACGTTATCGGAGAAGGAGTAGTTAGAGTTCGAAGTCATCGGTCCGAAAGGATTTACGATAAGGAAAATTATATCGACTTTCGAATGAGACTTTTGGGAGATCCAGGTAAATTAGTTTTTCAAAAAAGAAATTAGGAATAGCTTTTTCGTGTTAGTAAATAAAGTAAATGATAATAAATTGCACTGAAGGAAAATTTGCTTCAAATAACCGTTTTCTTTTTTATTATTATCAAATAAATATTTACTTGAATCAAATAATTTTTATTTAAATGAAATTGTTTTTGAAATAAATTTTATTTAAATGAATAATTTCAGTATTTGAAGTAAATGTCATTTAATTGGTTTAAAAAAAATTATTTGATTGAAGTAAATATTTATTTGAATCAAGTAAATTTTTTTCAGTGTATATTTATTTATTTTTGAATAATAACACTGGGTTACAAAAAATAGTCATGTCGTGTTTATTTAAAATTTACTGTGTTTATTGAAAGTTTAGGTGTCACTGAATAAGAATATACCAGAAAAACTTTTTTTCATTCGGTCATTCCCTTAAAAAACGAGTTTAAAGTCTCAAAAAACCGTATTTTTAGCACTTTTTGAGGCAGCGTAACAAGAAAACGCAACATGATAAAAATCTCTACAAAAGCTTAAACAAAAGCTTAAACCTTCAACTTTAAGGCTTAGAACTGAAAAGTACTTAAATAAGCACTGAAAACCTGCAGTCGCTATTTGAAATTATCAAAAAAGCTGGGTTAAGTAGCACTTGGTAAAAATCGATTCATCTAACCGGATTCGGTTGCAAATTGTTACTTGAGGTTTCTAATGACGAATTGGAACTTAGATTTAAAAATTTCAAAATGGCAGACTCAATTTTTTAAAATTATCAACGCAAATTTTGAAAAATTAAGTGAACTCATTATTTTCAGTCTGCCATTTTGAAATTTTTAAATCTAAGTTCCAATTCGTCATTAGAAACCTCAAAAAACCTCAAGTAACAAGTTGCAACCGAATCCGGTTAGGGAAATCGATTTTTACCAATTGCTTCCTGTTCTAGCTTTTTTTGACAATTTTATGTAGCGACTGCTTGATTAAGGAGGTTTTCATTGATTATTTAAGTACTTTTCAGTTCTGAGCCTTAAAGTTGAAGGTTTAAGATTTTATTTAAGCTCTTGTAGAGATTTTTATCATGTTGCGTTTTCTTGTTACGCTGCCTCAAAAAGTGCTAAAAATACGGTTTTTTGAAACTTTAAACTCGTTTTTTAAGGGAATGACCGAATGAAAAAATGTTTTTCTGGTATATTCTTATTCAGTGACACTTAAACTTTAAATAAATACAGGAAACTTTGAATAAACACGATATGACCATTTTTTTGTAACCCAGTGTAATTATTATTTATTATTAATTATTTGCTTTTTGTTTTTTTTCTCGACTTAGTAATTTATTTTTTTTTCTTATCTATTTATTTAGTCATTTTGTTTTTATTTATCTATATTTATTTAGTCATTTTGCTTTTATTTATCTTCTTATTTAGTCATTTTGCTTTTATATTTATCTACTTATTTAGTCATTTTGTTTTTTCATTTACTTATTTCATTATTTTAATTTTGTTTTTATTTATTTATTTATTTATTTATTTATCTATTTATTTATTTATTTATTTATTTATTCATTTAATGAGTAACGGACTCGAAGCTCGTTATAATAATTCGTTGAAACTGGAATTCCGAAGTTCACTTTCAAAATACCTCTTGCGGTAATAATTAACCACGGTTGCACTTGGAAAAGCGTAACGTGCGCAGCATAATGATGCAACTTTTTCTTTTCAAATTTTTACGTGACTCAGGTGAGGGACCGTCGATACTGTCACCTGGAATTCACAGTTTTCCTTTCAAGTTGGGATTACCATTAGGATTACCATCGACATTTCTCGGCAAAAATGGTTGGGTTCAGTATTATTGCAAGGCCGCGCTCAGGGAACCTGGCGGATTGACTCACAAGAATCAACAGGTGTTCATTGTCATGAATCCAATTGACTTGAATCTTGAACCACCGATTTTAGCCGTGAGTAAACAAACAACAACAACAATCGGAACAAAATGTTTTACAAAAAACATAAATCTTAACTTCAATTAAAAAAAAAATTTCTAAAATTCTCATACAATTTATTCTTCTCAAGAATTCAATTATTTAGAATTCCATTAATTTAATAATAAAATTCATCACAGGAATTCAATTATTTTCAATAAAATTTTTAATTCTCAATAAAATCTTTCAATTCTGAATAAAATCAAATTTTAATGAATATACTTCAATTAAATTTTTCGAAAGAATTAAATTATTTTTAAAAAGTTTAATAAAATTCTTCGCTGAAATTCAATTATTTTCAAAATTTTTTATAAAATTGTTCATAAGAATTCAATTATGTTCATTGAATAACAATTAAAATTGAATTCCTCGGAAGTATTTACTTATTTTCAATACAATTTTAATCAAATTTTTGTCGAAATAATTCAATTATTTTAAAAGTTTTAATAAAATTCTTCGAAACAATTCAATTATTTTTGACAACTCTTCGCTGAAATTCAATTATTTTCGAAAAATTTTATAAAATAGTTTATAAAATAGTTTTTAAAATTCAATTATATTCAATACAATTATAATTGAATTCCTCGAAAGTATAAAACTATTTTCAATTCAATTTAATAAAATTATGGGAAATAATTCAATTACATTCAAAAATTTTGATAAAATTTTTTGTAAGAATTCAATTAATTTTAATATAATTTGAATTAAATTCCTCGAAAGAATTCAATTATTTTTTCAATTATTATTTTCGAAAATTTTAATTAAATTCTTGGAAACAATTCAATTATTTTCAATTGTCAGTAAAATGAAATTTTAAATAATGTTTCAATAAAATTTCTGGAAAGAATTCAATTATTTTTGACAATTTTAATCAAATTCTTCGTTAAAATTCAATTATTTTTAAAGAATTTTAAATAATTGTCTATAACAATTAAATTATAATTGAATTTCTCAAAAAAAAAAAACCTACAATTTTCAATATATTTTTAATAAAATTCAACGAAATAATTCAGTTAATTTGGAAATTTTAACAAAATTTCTCTAAATAATTCAAGAATTTTGCATAAATAACACAATTTTTCGAACCAATTCAATTATTTTCAATTCATTTTACAGTTGTCAATGAAATCAAATTTTGATCAAAAATGTTTCAATACAATTTCTCAAAAGAATTAAATTATTTTTTACAATTTTTATAAAATTCTTCGCTAAAATTCAATTATTTTCAAAAATTTTTTTAAAATTGTTTATAACAATACAATTACATTGAATTCTTAATTATAATTGAATTCCTTGAAAAAATACAATTATTTTCAATACAATTTTAATTAAATTCTACGAAATAGTTCAGTATAAATTTGAAGAATTTAAAAAAATTCTTCGAAACAATTCAATTATTTTGATTAATAATGAAATTGTTTGAAACAATTCAATTATTTTTATTAATAATGAAATTGTTCGAAACAATTCAATTATTTGCATATATAAATAATAAAATTATGCGAAACAATTCAATTATTATCAATTTCCAATGAAATCAAATTTTAAACAAATTGTTTCATTAAAATTTCTCGAAGGAATTGAAATATTATAAAAAATGTTAATAAATCTATTCGTAGGAATTAATTATCTAATTAATAGTTCATTAATATTAACAGTGAAGAAATTTAAACTAAAAATTATTTTTCTTTAGAAGAGGTCTCTTGACAAGAAGACTTTTTAGAAAGAGAAGAATTAAAGAAAAAAAATTCTATTACTTATTTATCAACATTCGATTAATTTTAATTTTTACTCTTAATTTATAGTATTTAATAATTATAATTAATGGTTAATTAATACTAACAGTGAAATAATTTTAACTGAAAATTATTTTTCTTTAGAAGAGGACTCTTGAAGAGAATATACTTTTTTTTTTTTTTTTTTTTGTTGGTTACATGGCTTGTTGCATAGCAGGTAGCCAAAACACGTATATACTTTTTAGAAAGAAGAGAATAAAAAGAAAAAGTTCTGTTAATTTTTTTTCAAGTTCTAATTATTTATATACATTAACTGTTAATTAATAGTTAATTAAAATTAATGGTGATTTTAAATTAACTAAACATTCTTTCCTTTCATTCTTTAAATTTAAAATAGAAGAAATGATTACTAATTTAAATATTAGTGACTTAGTTTTTGCTTTTGAATTAGTAAGTTTTACTAATAAATTATTAGAAATTACTATTTATTAGTAAAATTTACTATTTATTAGTATAATTTACTATTTATTAGTCAAATTTACTATTAATTAAAAATTACTATTTACTAGTAAAATTTACTATTAATTAGAAATTACTATTTATTAGTAAAATTTATTATTTGTTCGTGAAATTTACTATTTATTAGTTAAATTTACTATTTATTAGTCAAATTTACTATTTATTAGTAAAATTTACTATTAATTAAAAATTACTATTTACTAGTAAAATTTACTATTTATTGGTAAAATTGACTTTGTATTAGTAAAATTGACTATTATTTAGTAAAATTGACTATTTATTAGTAAAATTGACTATTTATTAGTATAATTTACTATTTATTAGTAAAATTTACTATTTATTAGTAAAATTGACTATTTATTAGTAAAATTTACTAATTCAAATTAGTAAAAATGTTTACTAATTCAAATGTAGAGAGTATTAGACGAGAACTCTTACAGAAAAGAATCTTTGAAATAACAAGAGAATAAAGAAAACAAATCCTGTTAATTATTTAGTTTTTGCTGTTAATTAATAATGAATTAATATTAATAAAAAATAATTTTCCCCCAAGAAAAGAAAACCCATGAAAAGAAGTCTCTCTCTCTCTCTTTCTCTTTTTGTCTGAAAAGAAGAGAATAGTGAGAAAAAATTTGCCTATGAATAAGAGTATATTTTTATTTTCTTCTTTTCTAAAGTATAAATATAATGGTAACGAGAGAAAGATGATGTAAAAGTATATAGTGTTTATAATAAGCGGCGGGGAGAGAGAGAGAGAGAAAGAGAGAGTATTGTATATCGGTATGTATATGATTATATACCTTGTGTAATATTTATGTGCAGCAACCGGCAAGATTAGAGGTTGAACAACGCGTAGGTGTATCTTGTGTCTCGAGTGGACCTGTATTCTGTAGAGTGAGCTTAGATAGAGGTGGATATGTCCCTGGTGAAACTATTGGTATTTCAGCTACTGTCAGCAATCGTAGCAAGGTGTGTGTCCTCATCATCATCAATTACACCTCTCACAATATGCATTCTTGGCAAAACAGTGTCAAATCCCATTCATTTATCATTTTGCCTTTGCATCATCAATTATTATACTTTTATACTTTTTCATTATTCAAATCGACAGCATATTTTTTCCTTCGTTTACTGCTCAAATCAATTTTCAATATATTTATCTGTCAATTTATCAAAATTTACAGCTTCTCTATATACTAACCGGGAAATAGCCGGAAATTCTATGCCAAACCGGGAATTTTTTCACCAAATTCAAAATAGTTTTATTATTTTAATTTGTTTCTAAAAAATCGATTTTTATTTCAACTTTTATTGATATTTATAATGTTCTCTAAATTTGAATTAGTTCCAAATAATTGATTTGATTGTAAAAAATCAGTCACTGATTCAAATATAGTATGTAAATAAGTTTTCAAAAAATTATCGAATTAATAGAAATTTTGTGAAATTGAACTGAAAATAATTAAATTTGTTAAAGAATTTCATTAAAAATTTGAAAAAATCGAATTTTCAAAGTATTTTAATTTAATAATTGATAAATAATTGAATTTTATAGAATCACATTCTGTATTCATGTTTTTCAGCGCGAAGAGTAATAATTAAAATTTTTATTAGTTAATTTAAAAAAAGATACACACTTAAAATTTTTTAATAAAATTGAATTTTCGCAAAGTTTTTTTGAAAATTCTGAAAAATAAGATTTTTGAAATTTTTCAATTCTATTGTTTTAAGATAATTGAATTTTTATAAACAAATAATTGAACATTTTTTGAAATAATTGAAATTTTTTTACATTCTATTAAAAATAATTAAATTCTTTTAAAGAATTTTATTTAAATTTTTCGATAATAATCAAGGGAAGTTAGTCACCGTAATTATAATTTTATTTTTTAAAATTTCTTCGCAATATATTCAATTATTTTTATAAATGGTAAGACTCATTGCAGAATTTCAATTATTTTTAATACAATTTTAATCAAATTTCTCGAAAAATGTCATTATTCTCAAAAATTTTATTAAAATTCGTCGAAAGAATTCAATTATTTCTAAAAACTATAAAAAAAATTCTTCTCAAGAATTCAATTATTTCCATAAATAGCAAAATTCTTCAGATTTACTAAATTCTTTTGAATATTAGTTTTTAAAAAATTCTTCACAAGAATTCAATTATTTTAATAAATTTCCATAAAATTCTAAAAAACAATTCAATTATTTTTAAAAGTAATAAAATTCTTCGCAAAAATTCAATTATGCTTAAAAATTTTTTTAAATTATCCTCTAAAAATTTTAATTATCTTCATCTGTAAATAATTAAATTGTTCTCCACAATTCAATTATTTTCAAAAATTTAAATAAAATTCAACGCAAACATTTAACTATTTTGATTAATAATAACATTCTTTTGAAGGATTTAATTACTTTTATAAATAGTAAAATTTTTTGCTGAAATTCAATTAGAATCAATACATTTTAATAAAATTAAAATTAATCAAATTTTCAATTATAATTATAAACAGACAAGATTATTTTAAAAAAATGAAAAAATTCTTTGTTTAATTCAATTATTTTTCAAATTGTTAATCAAAATTATTAAAAAAAACATTATTTTCAAAAAATTTAAAGAAACTCGTAAAAAGAATGTAATTATTCATAAAAACTCTAATAAAAATTTTGAAAGCCATTTGAAGATTCATTAATTTTCTAGAGGTCTGCATTCTATGGGATGAACCACTTTAATTATTTCTTTATAGTTTCGTCAAAAATTTATGGTATTTTTTTTACTGTAGTTTTTTAGTTTTTTTTTCAATGTTTCAAATGTTCAAAAATCTTGTTGTAATTGTAGAAGAAATGTGATATTCTCATGGTGAATGCTTACTTTCTCAGGTGACAATGAAGTCAACCAAAGCATCGCTCACGGAAACAATTCAATATTTATGTAGGGGTAAAGTACTGGCGAGTGAAACTCGAGAACTCGCGAGTGTTTCCAGGGGGAAAATTAGACCAGGAGAGGGTGAAGAGTGGTTGAATGAACAAATGTACGTTCCACCCCTGCCTCCAACGAACCTGAGAGGCTGTCATTTAATTAATATTCTTTATCATGTTTATGTGAGTACCGAGGGGACATAATTGTATACTTATCAATTTTTAACGCACTAATTAATTAATAATTACTAACTATTATTAATTATTAATTACTTACTAATAAATACTAATTAAATAACAATAATATAATAATATTAACAGCCCTAATAATAATAATAAAAATAACACTAATATTAATTTTAAATTAGCACACTTTATTTAAGCATAGAAACAATTCAATTATTTTTTACAATTTTAATAAAATTCTTTGCTGAAATTTAACTATTTTCCAAAATTTTTGTAAAATTGTTTTAAAGAATTCAATTATATTCAAAACAATAAAAATTAAATTCCTCAGAAGCATTCACTTATTTTCAATACAATTTTAATAAAATTTTTCGAAATAGTTCAATTATTTTCCAAAAGTTGTGATAAAATTCTTTGTTATAAGAATTCAATTAATTTTAATACAATTTGCATTAAATTCCGCACAAAAAAAATTCAATTATTTTTTCAATTATTATTATCGAAAATTATAATACTATTCTTCGAAACAATACAATTATTTTTGACAATTCTTCGCTGAAATTAAATTTTTTTCCAAAATTTTTTAAAAATATTTTATAAAAATTCAATTATATTCAATGCAATTATAATTGAATTCCTCGAAAATTTAAAATTATATTTTTCAATACAATTTTAATAAAATTTTTGAAATGAATTCAATTATTTTCCAAAAATTTTTTATAACATTTTTTGTAAGAATTCAATTAATTTTATAATACAATTTTGAATTAAATTCTTCGAAAGAATTCAATTAATTAAAAATTCAATTATATTCAATACAATTATAATTGAATTCCTCGAAAAATATATAGTTATTGTCAATGTAATTTTAATAAAAATATTTGGAAATAATTCAATTATTTTAAAAAATTTCGATAACATTTTTGTAAGAATTCAATTAATTTTAATACAATTTGAATTAAATTTTTCAATTAAGAATTCAATTATTTTTTCAAATTATTATTTTTGAAAATTTTAATAAAATTCTTCGAAACAATTCAATTATTTTTAACAATTCTTCACTGAAATTCAATTTTAATCAATGCTCTAATGAAATTTCTCGAAAAAATTGAATTATTATTAATCAAATTTTTCGTTGAAATTCATTTGTTTTTAAAGAATTTTATAAAATTGTTTATGACAATTTAATTTTAATTGAATTCCTCGGAAATATACATTTATTTTCAATACAATTTTTTAATAGAATTTCTCGAAATAATTCAAAAATCTTGATAAGAATTCAATTAATTTTAAATACAATTTGCATTAAATTCCTCGAAAACAATTCAATTATTTTTTCAAATATTATTATCGAAAACTTTAATAATATTCTTCGAAGCAATTCAATTATATTTTTGACAATTCTTGAATTCTTGAATTATTTTGCAAAAATATTATAAAATAGTTTATAATAATTCAATTATATTCAATACAATTATAATTGAATTCCTCGAAAGTATAAAATTATTTTCAATTCAATTTTAATATAATTATGGGAAATAATTCAATTACATTCAAAAATTTTGATAAAATTTTTTTTGAAAGAATTCAATTAATTTTAATATCATTTGAATTAAATTCCTTGAAATAATTCAATTATTTTTTCAATTGTCAATAAAATTAAATTTTAATCAATGCTCCAATAAAATTTCTCAAAATAATTGAATTATTTTGGACAATTTTAATGAAATTCTTCGTTGAAATTCAATTATTTTTTAATTAATATTTATTTATTACAAAAAACGAATCAAAAGTGTTGCGAGGCAACATTTTTGATTCGTCTTTTGTCTCAATTTGATATCTGGAGAAAAACTTTGAGAATGAAAATATGTAATAATGTTAAAACTTTATAAAAAATATTTATTAAAACACTTTTGAAATTGAATAAAATGAAACGTATTTTATCGCAGTTCGTTATAAGTCCAAAGAGCCTGGATAAGGAAATAAAACTACAGATTCCTATTGTCCTTGCAACATATCCTCTGAGACAGGAGGGAGCCCCAGTGGGAACAGCTCCATCGAAGAGAGGAGCTCATTATCCATCGACTCTACCAATTTTCAGACCTTGGCTCGATGACAAGGCTTTTGAAATTCAGGAATAAAAATTTTACATAAAAACACACACACGACACTCGTATATTTACATTTTTTTTTTAAAGTAAAACTTAAAGGACTTTCAGTTGTATAATATTCTACAAATACTAAAAGAATTCAGCTTCGCAATTTTAGATATTAACAGACATTTTTTGTACTTTCCTCATGGAGGGAGTATTTTTCAAACTTATATATAATCAATACACGAAACGAAATCTTCACTGTAAAAAAAATTTATTTCATTAAAATAACCGATCTGACTTTTGTCAATTAAATATTTATTTGAATCAAATAATTTTTATTCGAGTCAATTAAATGGTTGAATTCATTCAAATCGTATTTGCTTTAAATACTGAAATTATTGATTCAGAAATTTGATTTCTTTAAAAATTATTTGTGATAAAAATTATTTAAGTAAATATTTATTTAATAAACAAGTTAATCGGTTATTTGAATGAAATAAATTTTTTTCAGTGTATTAATATTTATATTATATAATATATAATATAAAAAAACCGTATATAATATAAATAATACCTTCTCACGTGATGAGAATGTAAAAATACCGATTTTAGCAAGCAACGTCAATATGTTTGTCCTTATCGAGAAACAGATATCATAATGCTGCAAATAATGCATTTTATACCTCTTCTTTTTTAGAAGAATAATTCTTATTGTCCAATTGATCAATTTTATATACAACGATGATCGAATTTTTACAATTGTATTTATATGTTTATACCTCATTTATATGTAATACGTTTACAAATGTTGTTTAAAGACAAAACTGCCATAATTAGTGGGTAAATGAGAGTGTCTTTTAGAATCACTGTTAAAAAAGGGGGATTTAATTTTTTATACTGATTTTTGTACTAAATCGTCATTTAGTTCTATTTTAATACTAAAATCAGTTCTGTTTTTACATGGAAAGAAAAGAAATAATTTTTTTTGAAGGTATTTTACATAATTTGGAGAAAAAATGCGACAAAGCGAAATTTTTATTTACAAAAGACAAAATTACAAATTATTTATTTATCCACGGGCATTGAGTTTCAATTATAATAAAAATATAAGAAATTTAGTAAAATTTGATTAAAATTTGATATTTGGTATATAATTATTCTAAATTGCAAAGAAAAGATTTTTTCTTTTGTATTTTTATTTCAAAATTCCACTTTTGTAAAATTTTCTCCCCAAATTGTAAAATACTTTTTGTAAAATTTAATATCTATTTTCTTTCCCTGTATTAGCACTTTTCTTTAACAGTGAAGAATTATTGATTTTGTTGTATTAAATATGTGACCAATGCTCTTTGTATTTTATAAGAAAGTGCAATAGAGAAATGTAAAATCTAATGTCAATGTGATTAATAATAAATTAATATTGTACATTGATGAATTTGAAAATGCGATGATTTTACCTCAAAGAAATTAAAGTCAACTCTTCATTTCTTCTTTTAATTTTTCCATTATTTTTTCTATACTAGTGCCAGTGACGAGAATCTTCTTTTGACGACTTCGACAGCCCTGTGGATGAGATTATTTTTTATGAATTATTTTCTTTAAATAAATTTTTTTTCTATGAATAATTTTTTTTTTAATTGGATTTTTTTTCCATCGAAATGTGGTATTTAATTAGATAATTAAAATTAATTTTACCCTATCCAAGGATACATCTGATTTTCTTAAACCCAAAACAGATGCCATATATTTTACGAGTTCGGTATTCGCTTCTCCTTCAACTGGTGGGGCTGATATCGAAACTCCTACACCTTCTTCGGATATATCTATGCAAAAGGATGAAAAAAATTTTTTTTTAAATTTATCCAATTAGTCAAAATTTCGAATTTTTTTTCTCACCTGTTATATTATTATGTTTTGCACCTGGTTTCGCTTTAATCCTAATTGATATCGTTCCATCTTTCTCGAGAGAAATCGGTCCTTGAGGTTTCTAAAAATATTGAAAATTTCTTCAGTTTACATGGAAAAATTGCTTTTTTTGTTTGGAATTAAATTAAATAATTAAAGTTTTTATTTTTCACTGAAGAAAAAATTTATTTAATTCAAAATAACTGATTTTTTGTCAAGTAAATAAATAAAAACATCCAAGTCAATATTTCTTTAATTTAAGTAAATAAATAAAAAAATTGAAGTAAATTAATATTTATTTGATTCAAGTAAATAAATAAAAAAAAATCAAGTAAATTAATATTTATTTGAATAATTTCTACTTTAAATATTTTTTACTGAAATCAAATAAATTTTATTTGAACCAATAATTCTAGTATTTGAATCAAAGAAAATTTAATTGACTCAGATAAAAGTTATTTCACAAAAAATAAATATTTATTTAACAATAATCGTTTATTTGGATCAAATAAATTTTTTTTAAATTCCTCTTTCTGTTTGGAATTAAATTGAAATTAAAGTTTTTATTTTACTGAAGAAAAAATTTATTTAATACAAAATAACTGATTTTTTGTCAAGTAAATTAAAAAATAAATAAATTTTGAATATTGAAAAATATTTAAATAAATAAATAAAATAAATATTGTTCCTTCAATATATTATATTGTTATAGAAGTTAATTTTCACGAGAATATATTGTGAAAAATTTTTATTTAAATTGAATAAATTTTTTTTCGATAAATAATTAAATTAATTTATAATATTTATAAAAAAAAAATTTGTTTATATTATATTTAATCATTCAGGAAATTTTTTATTTAAATTGAATAAATTTTTTTTCTATAAATAAATAAATAAATTTTGTCTAAAAAAAATATTTTAAAAAATTAAATTTTAAATCAATATTAAGGGGACAAGTGAAATTTAATTTTTCCGCGATTGGTACGCCTGGTAATTGTTGGTAATGTTTCTGAACCTATCTCAACTCTCAAGTCATTACACATCTGAGAAAACATTGTTTGTGGAAGATGCAAAATTCATATTTAAATAGATGATTATACTGTAAAAAAAATTATTAGAAACAACATTTAGAAAAAACTGATATAAATGTGAGTAGAAAATTTTTTTTACCTCAATTACTTTCGTCGACACAGACTTTTCATTTTTCTTTGCCACCTTCTTAGACATTTTTTGCACTATTTGAAAATCTAAAACTCTTCTTGTATTTATTAATTGCTTTCCGATTGCTAACATTAAGAAGTTTTTCTTCTTCATAAAATCATAATTTTCTTACTGAAATTTATGTTTCTTTTTGTAATGAAATTTGTTGAAAATTGTTGTCATGTAGTTTCTTAACCTCTACAAGATTTTTTTTTTTGACATCACGCATGTGCACCAGTTGTGCCAACGTAATTTAACCGGGAAACATTTAAATTCTTCCTGGTTTTTCAAAAAAAAATTTTTATTATTTTTAATCTTTCCTTATTTTTTTTTATTATTATTTCTTCTCTATTTTAAGTGAATGAAACGATTCAGTGAAATTATTTTTTACGCTTGATTTGAAATCTTTTTGAAGACGGACAAAATTTGCTTTTTATGCAACAAAAAAGAAAAAAAATGTAAGTAGATATTAAATAATTAATATTTTTTAGAATAATCATGCCTAAGAAATTTGTTGGCGAAAACAGCAAAGCTGTTGCGGCTCGTGCTCGAAAAGCTGCCGTTAAAGAATCTGAAAACTCAAAAAAAGCTCAAGAAGCCGAAGACAAAGCGTGGAAAGATGACGATAAGCAATTATTAAAGAAGAAACAAAAACAGGTTAAATCAGTTATTTTCAATAATGTTTTGAGAATTCAATAATTTTCTAGGAAAGAATCAAAGTTCACATTAAATATTTTAACTAAAAATTCAATTTTACGAAATTTGGATTATTTGAAAATTTTTCAGTTAAATATAATAGTAAAAAATTCAACTATAATTTCAAAAAAAGTTAACTAAAAGTTTTTCAAAAGTTAATTTCTTCTGAATTTCTAATTAAAATTCTTTAAAATTGAAACTTTTTGAAATTTAATACTTTATGAGAATTGCTACTCTAACTTCTTCAAAATTAATTTCAAAATTTCAATTCAATTATTTTCTGGAATTTTCAACTAAAATTCTTCTCTAAATGTTTTATTCTTCACTAAATTTTTAATACTTTTTGATCAATCAAAATTTCGATTATTCGACAATTATTCAATATATTCAAAAATTCAACTGTTTACAAAAAAATTTAACTAAAAATTCAATTTTACGATATATCAATTATTCAAAATTAATTTTCAGTTAAATATATTCGAAAAATCTTAATTAAAAAAAATCAAATTTCATAATAATTCAACTAAAAAATATTCAAAAACTAATTTCTTGAGTATTTTTAATGAAAATTATTTAAAACTTTAATAATTCAATATTCGACAATTTTTTACTTAAATATTTAAAAATTCGACTAATTTAAAAAAAGTTTAATGAAAAATTCAATTTTATGAAATTTTAACTAATTATAAAAAAAAAATTATTATAACTAATTTTAAAAAAGGACAAATAAAAAATTTTTTAAAAACTAATTTCTGGAGTAATTTTTAATAAAAATTATTTAAAACTTTAATTGTCTGAAATTTCAATTTAAAACTTTTTGAATTGCTACCTACTGTAATTTCTTCAAAATAATTTTCAAGATTTTAATTCAATTAATTTCTAGAATTTTCCAACTAAAATTCTTCTCTAAATTCATTACAAATTTTAATAATTTTTAAGAAATTTCTTTGAAAATTTAATTATTGAAATTTTTAATTTCACTTGAAATAAAAAAATATAAACGTAAAAGTAAAAAATATTACTCATTCATAGGAGGAGACGGAGAAGAAACGTCTGGAACAGTTACAAAAGAAAGCAGAGGTCAAAGCTCTTTTAGAAAAAGAAGTATCTTCCATTAAAGTTGGTGGAAAGCAACCATTAGCGAAAGTCACTCGGGCAGAAATTATGGCCGAAACTGAAAAACGTAATCAAGTTGTAATGAAGAAAAAAGAAGAGGAGAAACCAATTGAGGAGAATCTCAACCGAATTATTCTCGAGGGCGAAACAGCTCACGGAATTGACGAGGCCCTCTCTGTCTTGAGGTTAATTTTTCTACAAACCGAAATTTTTAAATTAAAAAAAAATTATTGCATACTAAAATTATTAAAAAAATCTTATTTCAAATTAAAGTTATTAAAGAGAAATTATTATTTAAAATTAAACTCATTAAGAAAAACTTAGTTCAAATTAAACTTGTTACAAAGAAACTTATTACCAAAAAATATTATTTAGATTGAAACTCTTTAAGAAAAACGTATTTCAAATTAAAATTGTTACAAAGAAACTTATTTCAAATTAAAGTTATTAAAAAAATTAATATTTAGAATTAAACTCATTAGGAAAAACTTATTTCAAATTAAACTTATTAATAAAAAAATTGGTGAAACTGACAACGTTTAGAATCAATGACTAAAAGAAAAAAAAATATTTTCTGAAAAATTATAAAGAATAATTGAATTATTGCAAAGATTTTAATTTTTGAACCAATTGAATTTTTCTAAAATTCCATTTAAAGAATTGGATTTTGGAAGAATTTTAGTAAAATTTTCTTAAAGTTCATTAAAAATAATTCAATTTTTGGTGAATTTTATTAAAATTTTTAAAATAATTAAAATTCTCTAAAAATACTTTAAAAATAATTTAATTTTAGAAGAACTTTATTGAAATTTTCTAAAAGTTCATTAAGAATAATTGAATTTTTGAAAAATTTTAATAATTGAATTTCTCTGAAATTCCATTAAAAAATTGGATTTTTAAAGAATTTCAGTAATATTTTTGTAAAAGTTCATTAAAAATTCTTCAATTTTTGGAGAATTTTATTAAAAATTTTCAAATAATTAGAATTCTCTAAAATTTGATTTAAAAAATTAAATTTCTGAAGAATTTTATTGAAATCTTCTAAAAGTTCATCAAGAATAATTAAAAGTTTTGGAGAATTTGATTAGAATTTTTGAAATAATTGAAAATATCTAAAATTTCATTAAAAAATTGGATTTTGAAAGAATTTTAGTAAAATTTTCTTAAATTTCATTAAAAGTTATTAAATTTTTGGAGAATTTTATTCAAAATTTTGAAATAATTAGAATTCTCTAAAATTTGATATAAAAAATTAAATTTCTGAAGAATTTTATTGAAATCTTTTAAAAGTTTTGAAGAATAATTAAATTTTTGAAAAATTTGATTAGAATTTTTGAAATAATTGAAAATTTCTAAAATTTCATTAAAAAATTGGATTTTGAAAGAATTTTAATAAAATATTCTTAAAAGTTTATTAAAAATTATTCAATTTTTAGAGAGTTTTATTAAAATTTTTGAAATAATTAAAATTCTCTAAAATTACTTCAAAAATAATTTAATTTTGGATGAACTTTATTGACATTTTCTCAAAGTTCATTAAGAATGTTTGAATTTTTGAAAAATTTTAATAATTGAATTTCTCTAAAATTCCATTATAGAATTAGATTTTTAAAGAAGTTTAGTAACATTTTTTAAAAGTTTATTAAGAATAATTAAATTTAAAAAAAAAAATTTTTTAAGTTTATTAAGAATAATTGAATTTTAAAAAAATTTTATTAAAATTTTTTGAAATAATTGAAATTTTCTAAAATTCCATGTAAAGAATTAAATTTTTGAAGAATTTCATTGATATCTTCTAAAAGTTCATCAAGAATAATTAAATTTTGGGAGGATTTGATTAAAATTTTTGAAATAATTGAAAATTTCTAAAATTTTGTTAAAATCAGTTTAATTTTTAAAGAATTTTATTAACATTTTTGAAAACAGTCAAAGGAGACAATTTATTTTATTTTAAAAATTAGGTAAATTTTGAAAAATAAAATACGTAAATTTTTAAGTTTTTAGAATCAAAGTTTTCCTTCTAAAAATGACCTTTTTTGTATTTTTGATCTTCCTTTGAAGTTTTTTTTTACAATAATCAGGGAAAAGTTGAATTTCTTTCTGGAATTCAGGGAAAATGTAAATATAATTTTTGTGGAAACTGTACACTGAAAAAAATATTAACTTGATTCAAATAACCAATTAATTGACTTTAATAAATATTATTTGATTCAAGTAAATATTTAATTGATTATTATCAATTCATCAATTATTTGAATCAAATAAATGTTTTTTCCAGTGTATATAAAATAAAAATAAATATTAAAAAAATTAATTTTTCCACAGTGTAAAATCGCCGGAAGTTGACAAACATCCAGAAAGAAGAATGAAAGCAGCCTATACGGCATTCGAGGAGAAAATGATGCCGATAATAAAAGATCAAAATCCAACACTAAGACTTAGCCAATTAAAACAAATTTTAAGGAAAGAATGGATGAAATCGCCCGAGAATCCCCTCAATCAAAGACTCCTGAATAGCTAGTCTTTAATTTTATTTCTAAAAAAGAAACACTGGCAAATTGTGCATATAAAAACGACTGATTTTAATTTTCTTTTATTCTCTTATTTAAAATTATTATCATCGCATCATCAAATGGTTGAGAAATCGTCAAGGAGTATATAAATAGTAATTTAATCTATAACTCAATTTTTTTTCGTTTTGTAAATTAATAATAATTTATTACTCGGTACCGTAAAAGTCGTTAAGTATATAAACATTATTATTACTTTGGTACAAATTACAACGTGCGCACTTTAAATAATATTTTTTACATTTGAAAAAAGGTATTTTTTTTGCCTTTTTTGACACAAGAATTATTACGATGTGACAATTTTGACAAGTGTCTTTTTTTGTGACACTTTTTTGTGTGTCTTTCGTGACATTTACGGCGTCACTTTTGTGAAAAGTGGCATTCGACTCAGCGCGCTTGTAAAAAAACAAAAAACAAAAAAAAAAGAAATGGGGAAATTAAAAAAGAGTATTATATCAGAATGTACAAAAAAAACGTGAACTATATCTACCTATCTACAGATTTTTTCGTTATAAAAGTCTTTTAAGTTGGTACAGTAAAAATAATTTATGAAAACAAGAACACTTTTGTTCTTCATTTCTTTGCTTTTTATATTTTTATTGCACTTTTTAGTCACCATCTTTTATTCTTCCAGAGGTCGATGAAACAGTGAATCATGTGATTTATTTGATTTGGACAGTCCGTCATTGGTATGTGTCCAGCTGAAGGCAATGCTTCGAGAAATGCCTTGATCATGGTCTGGAAAAATAAAATTCGAATTGATAAAAGGACGACAAATTTGTGAGGACAAGAAGAAATTGAAATACTACTTTTGGTTTTTACATATTTTTTTAGTAAACTATTAAATTTATTTTAAACATTAACATTTTTTATATTTCTATTAAATTAGAAAAGACTTTATTTTGGAAAAAAGGCAATTTTCAAAAATAATTGAATTTCAGAAGGTTTTGATAGTAAAATTTTAAAAAATTCAATTGCTGCAAGGAAATTAATATAATAATTATGAATATTTAAAAATTTATTTAAGTTTTGAATAACTTTATTTAAAAAATTTGAAAAAAAAATCAAAAATTCAAAAAATTTCAATTCAATTGCTTACAGATATTTAAATTTTTAGAAAAAATTCTATTAATTAATTTTCAAATGAATTAAAATTTTGTGAAATTGAGGTGAAAATAATTAAATTCGTTAAAGAAAATTTTTATTATTTTAGAAATTTGCAAAAAAATTCTTCAGAAATTTAATTATTTTCAATGGTGTCTTACAAAATTTCAATTTTATTTCAAAAATTTTAATAAAATTTTCAAATAATTCAATAATTCTCAATGAACTTTTAAAAAATTTCAATAAAGTTCTTCCAAAATTAAATTGTTTTTAAAGTAATTTTAGAAATCAATTATTTCAAAATTTTTAATAAAATTCTTTAATATAATTATTCTTAATAAACTTTTAAATAATTTTAATAAAATTCTTCTAAAATCTAATTTTTTTAGTGGGATTTTAGAAAATTTTAATTCTAAAAATTTATAACAAAAATTCTTTAAAAAATCAATTATTTCTAATGATATTTAAAAATATTTCAATTATTTAAAAAAAGTTACAATAAAGTTCTTTAAAAATTCAATTATTTCTAATGGAATTTTAGAAAATTTCAATTATTTAAAATGTGTAATAAACTACTGATTCTTAAAAAAATTCAATTGTTTTAATAGGATTTTAGAAAATTTCAACTATTAAAGAGTTCAATACAATTCTTAAAAAATTCAATTAAATTATTTTTAATGGAATTATAGAAAATTTCAATTATTTTAAAAATTTCCAATAATTTCTTTGTAAACATTTGGGTAATTATTGTTAAAAAAAATAATATATAAATATTTTAAAAACTTAAGTTTTTAGAATTTGAAAGTTCATTTATTTAAAAAACAACTTTGAATTTAAATCTTTTTCAAATTAAAAATTGAACAAAGAATTGAATTGTAATTTTTGGAGAATTTTGTTGGAATTTTTTAAATAATTGAAATTTTCTGAAATTTTACTAAAAATAATTCAGGGTGGCCGCTGGACCGGGAAACCGGGAAAACCGGGAAATGACAGTGAATTTTTTTGGACAGGGAAAAACCGGGAAATGACAGTGAATTTTGATCTTGACCGGGATTTTGGAATTTTTTTTTTAAAAACACACATTACTTTGTGAGAAAAAATAGAAATATTTATTTTAAGATTTAGGTATTAACTATATTTCATTAAAAAAGATTGAATGATCTTCTATAAAATCTATTTATATTTTGTCAGAGAATTTTATAAAAAGTACTATAAAAATATTCAATTTCTAGAATTTATAAGAAAATTATGAATTTTGCTGTCCAACGTAACAGACTTAGAAAAAGAAAATATTAAATTTAATTTTAAATTCTTTCTATTTCTAACAATAATTAAACAAAATATAATTTTAATTAAATTTGTCAAAAAAATTTCAAAGAGAAAAAATTTCACATCCTATAAAATAATGAAAAATAAATCATTTTAAAAATTTTTTGCAATTAATATTATAACAAAACAAATAAGAATTATTAAAAATTTGAACTAATTAGAACAAAAGTGATACGAAATTTATAAAAATGAATTTTTGAATAATAAATAAAGTAAATAAAAATAAATAAAATTTCTTTTCTTAGAAAAGAAATTTTAAAAAACCGTATTTTTCATTAATATCAATTAGTTTTTTTACAATTATTCATAAGCAAATTTTTCGATTTTTTTGAATGTTAAATTAATATCATACTAATATTATTATAGATTGAATTTTAAAAAATTTCAAATTGAAGTTTTAGAAAAGTTGAATTTTAAAAGATTTTAATTAAAAATTCTGAATAATTTAGTCTTTAAAAATATTTTTATTCACATTTTCTCAAATTAGTTATGTTTTTAAATATGTAATATTTAATTGAAAAATTTTCAAATTAATCAAAATTTCATGAAATTGTCTTGTAAACAAGTGGATTTTAGAAATATTTTAGTTATTTTTAGAATATAATTGAATTGAAATTTTGAAAATAATTTTTAATAAGTTGCAGTAGCAATTCTTAAAAATTATTCAAATTTAAATATTTGAAATTTGAATTTTTTTTTGAAATTTGAATACCTTCTATATGGAAAAATAATGGATAATAATTGAATATTTATTTAAAAAAATCTATTTAAGTTCAAAATTATTTTTAGAGTAAACTAAAATATTTTTAGGGTTTGGGAAAAAGTCAAAGTTTTGTCTAAAAATCAGGAAATTCTTTCAATCTTTCATGGAATAATTTATTTTCAGAGTTATTATTTATGACCGGGAATGGACCGGGAAATGACCGTGAATTTTTTTTTACAAAAAAAGTGGCCACCCTGTAATTAAATTTTTGACGAATTTTAATAGACATTTTAAATGATTGAAATTTTCTAAAATTTCATTAAGAATAATTGAATTTTTGAAAAATTTTAATAAATGAATTTCTCTAAAATTCCATTAAAAAATTTGATTTGTAAAGAATTTTAGTAAAATTTTCTTAAAGTTCATTAAAAATTATTCAATTTTTGGAGAATTTTATTAAAAATTTTGAAATAATTGGAATTTTCTAAAATTTGATTTAAAAAATTAAATTTCTGAAGAATTTTATTGAAATCTTCTAAAAGTTGATAAAGAATAATTACATTTTTGGAGAATTTGATTGAAATTTTTGAAATAATTGAAAATTTCTATAGAATTTCATTAAAAAATTGGATTTTTAAAGAATTTTAGTAAAAATTTTTAAAAGTTCATTAAGAATAGTTAGATTTTTAAAAATTTTTATTAAAATTTTTTGAAATAATTGAATTTTTCTAAAATTCTATTAAAAATTGGATTTTTAAAGTATATTTTAGTAAAATTTTCTTAAAGTTCATTAAAAATTAATTCATTTTTGGAGAAATTTATTAAAATTTTCTAAAATTCCATTAAAAGAATTGAGTTTTTGTAGAATTTTATTGAAATTTTTTAAAACTTCATTAAGAATAATTGAATTTTTGGAGAATTTTATTGAAATTCTGGAAATAATTGAAAATTTCTAAAATTTCGTTAAAAACAGTTTAATTTTTAAAGAAATTTATTAAAATTTTTGAAAATAGTCAAAGGAGACAATTTATTTTATTTTAAAAAGTAGGTAAACTTTAAAAAAGTAAAATACGTAAATTTTCAAGTTTATAGAATTAAAGATTTCCTTTCTAAAAATAACCTTTTTGTATTTTTGATCTTCCCTTGAAAATTTTTTTTACAATTCTCAGGGAAAAGTTGAATTTTTTTCTGTAATTAAGGGAAAATGTAAATGGAATTTTTGTGACAACTCTAGACTGAAAAAAATATTTATTTGATTCAAATAACCGCAATTACTTGACTATTATCAATTAAATATTTACCTACTTGAATCAAATAATTTTTATTTGAGTCAAATAATTGGTAATTGCTTCAAATATCTACTGAAATTATTTAGTATTTCAAATACCAGTTAATTGACTCGAATAAAAATTGTTTGATTCAAGTAAATATTCAATTGACTCAAATAAAAATTATTTTATTCAAGTAAATATTTATTTGACTCAAATAAAAATTATTTTATTCAAGTAAATATTTATTTGACTCAAATAAAAATTTTTTGATTCAAGTAAATATTTAATTGACTCAAATAAAAATTGTTTGCTTCAAGTAAATATTCAATTGACTCGAATAAAAATTATTGGATTCAAGTAAAAATTTAATTGACTTAAATAAAAAATTAGTTGATTCAAGTACTAAATGAGTGATTTGAATAAAATAATTTTTTTCCCAGTGTAGACAATAAGAATCGGGAACTTACTCGTTCCATTTGACATTCCTGGACGAGTGACACTTTATTATCCCTGAGTCCGTGTATTAAAAGTGTCGGCGTACAGATCCTTCTATGGAAAACGTAATCGCCTTCCGGCCATGCCATTCCCTTCAATACGTATTTCATGTGCGAGGGCCATTGTTCCTCTGATTCGGAGCCACAATAAGGATGTTGTCGCCCCCTCGCCGAATACAAAATGTCACGATGAAGTCCGCAGACAAGAAATGGCGTGAGCATTGCCCTCAGACAACAGTGTCCGGCGCTCTCGTTGCTCGGAGGTGCCAATGGCGTTGGTCCACCGCCAGATATTAACACCAATTGATGAATGCTGCTCTCGTATTTGCAGGCCAAGGCCGTGGCGAAGCTACATCTATATGGAAAACAAATGTCTATTTAATCCACTCAATGAGTATATCATTTTATTAAAACACATCACTTCGACCCACGAGAGGCATGTTGCAATTAATAGAGAATAAATGGAATTCATTGTCTCTTTATTGAAACTTCGAGAAGCGTAGGTCGTTTCATTTACACTTCAAGTCATTTCTCATATTTCAATGTGAAACACTCTTTTTCAATTCATCATTTCATTGGGGTTCAATGTGCCAATTTTCTGCGAGGAAATTTTTTTTTTCTTTTAACTCTCTTTACTATGAAAAGTTTAAATATTAATGTAATAATTAGATAATTTTTCATTTCAATAAAAAACATTGTTTTTTTTCAATTCATCATTTCATTAAAGTTCAATGTCCCATTTTTCTGCGAGGAATTTTTTTTTCCTCTAATTCTTTATTGAAAAATTAAAATATTTTAAATAATTTTTCATTTCAATACAAAACACTTTTTTTTTATTCATCATTTCATTAAGATTAAATGTGTCATTTTTCTCGGAGAAAAATTTTTTTTCTTTCAATTCTTCAATGAAAAATTCAAATATTATTTAAAATATTCAAAACATGTTGAATTTTAATTAATAATTTAAATATTAAAAGCAAAACAAAAACCTCTATTATTTTTATTACAGGATTGCCATAAATCAGGAAAATTCGGGAAAAGTGAGGAAAAATAAAATTGGTCAGGGAAATCAGAGAACTTTCAGCTTTTAGGCAATTTTATTTCAATTCTTTCAATATACTTGAATTTTGAAAAAAAAATTGTATTACAGAATTATCAAATTAATTTAAATTTTGTAGAATTGAATTAAAAAAAAATTAAATTTATATTTTAAATGATTAAATTTTATAATAACTTTCTGAATGTTATTAATTATAATTAAATTAGAAGTTAAAACAGATTTTAGTAAAAAAAAAAATTAAATTTTCAAAAATAATTTAACTTTAGAAGGCTTTAAGAACTAACATTTTTTAAAAATAATTTGCTGTGAAGAATTAAATAGCAATTAAACATTTATTTTAAAGTTTAAAATAATTTTATTTAAAATGAAAAAAATTAAATTCTAAAAAATTTTCGTTACATTTTTTTTAAGACAATTAAATTAATTTATTTTTAATGCAATTTAAGAATAATTCAATAAAACTCTTAAAAATTTCAATTATCAATAAACTTTTAGAAAGTTTTAATTATTTCGAAAATTTTGATAAAAATTAATTATTTTTTTCATGAAATTTTAGAATATTCAAATAAAATTTTTGAAAAACTCCATTTTCTTGAATAGAATTTTAGAAAATTTAAATTATTTAAGAAATTTCAAAAAAAAATTTCAAAAATTCAATTCTTAAATAATTGAACTTTAAAAGAGTTATACAATTAAAATTTTTGTCAATTAATTAATATCAAAAAATTTTAATTTCCAAGTTTTTTTGCAAAATAAATATCCAAAAAGTTTTATTTCAAAATTCTGAAAACTTAAGTTTTTAAAATTATTTAAATTGTATTTTTTAACAAGACACGAATGTTTATAAAGGAGTTATTGGAAACTTTTAAATTAATTAAAAATTTCTAAAATTCTCTATTAAAAATAATTCAATTTATAAATGTAATTTTATTTCAGTTTTATAAAATTATATTAAAAAATAATAAAATTTTTTAACAATGTTATTGTAACTTTTGAAATAGTTGTACTTTTTTAAAATTCCATTAAAAATAATTCAATCTTTTAATAATATACTGAATTTTTTAAATAATTGAAAATTTATAAAACTCCGTTTAAAATTATTGAATTTTTTTCAGAATTCCATTGAAATATTTGAAATAATTGCAAGTTTCTAAAATTCCATTGAAAATAATTGAATAATTGAACTTTTTAAATAAAATTTTAAAAAAATTAAAAATTTCCAAAACTCCATTTAAAATTATTATTTTTTTTTAGAATTTTATTGAAATTTTTGAAATAATTGAAATTTTCTAGAATGTCATTAAAAATAATTGAGAATTTTTTTTTAGATTAGTATTAAATTTTTAAATAATTGAATTATACTAAAATTCCATTAAATATAATTGAAATTCTAAATAATTGAATTTTTTAAAATTCCATTAGAAATAATTGAATCTTTGAATAATTTGTATACTGAATTTTTTAAATAATTGAAAATTTACAAAACTCCGTTTAAAATTATTGAATTTTTTTCAGAATTTCATTGAAATATTTGAAATAATTGCAAGTTTCTAAAATTCCATTGAAAATAATTGAATCTTTTAATAATTGCATGTTGAACTTTTTAAATAAAATTTTTAAAAAATTGCAAATTTCCAAAACTCCATTTAAAATTATTAATTTTTTTTTAGAATTTTATTGAAATTTTTGAAATAATTGAAATTTTCTAGAATGTCATTAAAAATAATTGAATTTTTTTAAAATAGTAGTATTAAACTTTTTGAATACTCGAAATTTTCTAAAATCCTAACAAAAATAATTGAGAATTTTTTTAAGATTATTATTATTAAATTTTTAAATAATTGAATTTTACTAAAATTCCCTTAAATAGAATTTTGAATTTCTAAATAATTGAAATTTTTTTAAATTCCATTAGAAGTAATTGAATCTTTTAATAATTTGTAAACTGAATTTTTTTTAAATAATTGAAAATTTCCAAAACTCTCCGTTAAAAATTATTGAATTTTTTCTGAATTTTATTGAAATTTTTGAAATAATTGCAATTTTCTTAAATTCCATTAAAAATAATTGAATCTTTTTATAATTATACATGTTGAAATTTTAAAATAAAATTAATAAAAAATTTCCAAAACTCCATTTAAAATTATTAATTTTTTTTAAGAATATTATTGAAATTTTCTAAAATGTCATTAAAAATAATTGAATTTTTTTAAGAATAGTATTAAACTTTTTACATAATTGAAATTTTCTAAAATCCTAATAAAAATAATTGAATAAAATTTTTGAAATAATTGGATTTTACTAAAATTCCATTAAATAGAAATGAATTTTTAAATAATTGAATGTTTTTTGAAATTAGAATTCCATTAAAAATAATTGAATTTCCGAAGAATTTTTATTGCAATTTTTGAAATAATTGAAATTCTTCAAAATTCCATTTAAAAAATTTTTGATTTTTTTGTTGGCAAACCTGTATTAATTTATTTGACTTATTAATTTAAATATTAAGAAAAAACTATTATTCTCTCTTTATTATTATTTTTTTATGATTATTTATTGAAATTTATGATGAAAACCTGTTGTTTTGAAAATTGTAAAAAAAACATTTAATAACCCCGTCTGCGGATGAAAATTTAAAATACGATGCAATGTGCAGTCATAAAAAAAGAATCTCTCAGACATACATCATATTTGCGAAAGAAATGTACACGTAAGAGTGCAACGTTCTTTAATATATTTAATACATCTCTAAAAGTTTCACATCGTTTTCGTATAAATAGACACACCTTCGTTATAGAAAATCATTGCATTTTTTTTTCCTTAGCCCCTATATAGAAACACTTGTAGAGATAAGATATTATATTAAATTGTCAACTCTCGCTCGAAAGTATAAGGAAAAAAGAAATTTCATTTATCGGTCAACGAATTCCGTAGCGTAGAAATTAGTATAGAAAAAAAATTTTGTTTTGAGATTAAATTGCATTTTGATTGCAAATCAATAGAATTTTTTTCCTTTTTATTCTTAATAATGGAAACACTTCCTCAATGTCAAATTGGTTGCGGGGGAAAAAAACACTTTCGCTGATATCATAGTTGTATTAAAGTGAAAGTATATTATTGATATAATCATAAATTGTTGATGACAGTTTATTTTCATGAAAATTATGGCTTAATTTACATAAATAGCTTATAACTTTCAAACCAGTTCTTTTAACATTAAACAACTGGTTTGGCAATTTTTTTTTTTTTAATAAATTTTGCAAATAAGAGATTTTAGCGTTTCTTGTAATTAGTAGATAAATATTATCGAAAATTTACTATTTTTATTCGTTTAATATTCTTGTTTGGAAAAAAACAACAATTATTACATAAGAAGAAGATGACTATTATTATTATTTTACTAATAAAATTAACAATAATGTATTGATTAAGAAAAATACGCATGTTAATATAATTAATTGTAAAAGATTACTTTCAAGAACTTTAATTGATATTAATTAATTACTAATTCATAATAATTAATAATAATTCTCTCTAAATACGAATTAGTAAAATTTTTTACTGATTTGAACTTTTTGCTTTTGAATTTGAAAATTTTACTAATTTAGTACAAATTACTATTTGTATTTATTAATAAAATTTATTAATTTAAATTAGTAATCAGTTTTAGTATTGCAAATTAAGGAGTTAATCGTCAGAATTCATTAACAAAAATATTAAGAGTAAAATAATTTTAATAAAAAATTATTATTTAATAAATTAATTAATTAAGTTAATTAATTATTAATAATAAATATTAATAATAATGAACAATGGTAATTGTTAATAATATTAATGAAACAATACTAAAATCAGATTTTATATTCGAATGTTAATAATAAATAATAGTATTAATATTTAATCGAGTATTTAATAATAATAATAATAATAATAATAATAATAATATTTTAATATTACCAAAAACAGAATATTTTTTTCTTTATTAAAATATTTAAAGCAGTTGATAGTAAATTTGGGCAGGTATATTTTTATTTTAGGCATGCACGTGAGATAAGAAAAAATTTAACCTTTGGCCATCAGTTTGGAATACCGGTTTTAAAATACTCAATCGAAATAATAAAAACGTTTTGATATTTTAAATTCCAAGAAGGGCTTGAATAGATTAATATTATAATATTCCTAGACGCACGTTTTGTCTTGATTACATCTTAATTATCATTGTGACCTAATTATAGGTTTCAATGAACTTTTTTTTTTTCATTGTGAAAACGAACAGTTCGATAATAAAGAAATATACTCAATATTTCATAAAACAAAGAAAATATTTTTTTCCATTTGACATTTTTCTATTTAACATTCAATTACTTTTTACAAAATTATTAATTTAAATTCAAATTTCTTAAAACTTCAAACATTAAAATTTATTGAAGTAAATTTGAGAGTAAATTTTTGGAAACTAAATTTTTGTAAAATAAATTATAATAATATAAAAAAAATAATAATACCAGTAATAATTATAATATAATAAATTATTTTTAGCGAAATAATAATTTTCGAGAATAAAAAAATAATATTATAGTAACAATTATTTAAGTAACAAATTACTTTTAGCGAAATAATAATTTTCGAGTAATATAAAAAAATATTATAGCAACAAATATAACAATTACCGTAAATAAATTTTCTTTTATCAAACAAATAATTTTTGCGAGAAAAATAAATAAAAAAAAATAAATCAATATCTAGAAGTAAATTGCATTTCTTGGAAATTGATTTACAATTGGGTTAAATTTTCATTATATATCCTTCTTTGTAGTTTGTATATCAATTTAAAATAAGTAAGTTTCCGTGTAACTCTTTACGCTATTGAAACTCGCGAAAGTGGAAATTTTAAAATGACGTCAAAATAATTAGTTTTACGAGTAGATTTTTATCTCTGCGAATAATTTACTATTATCTATGGTATTATGCCTTAAAATTCTTTAAAAGCAACTTTTTCTTTTCTTTAAATATATACAAAATTTAAAGTATACAAATTCAATTATTTTTATTTTATATATACGAATAATAGAGATGTTATATGTTCATATCAATTTTCTCTCATCAAAAAAACATAACTTTATAATGGAAATCGTAAATTATTTTCTAATTAAATAAATTTAATTAATAAATCACAATTTTTTTCTTCTTCATCTCGAGAAAAAATGCAGTTTTATATAAAAAATTTATGACTTGGAACAAAATTAATTGTTTAATTATTAAAAATATAGAAATAACAAATTGTATAAAATTTTATTTGATGTTCATTAAATTTTTATTATTAATATTATTATTGCTACTGTTACTATCATTTATTATCATTATTATTTTTTATATTATTATTATTATAATTAATATTATTATTATTATTATTATTGTTATTCTAATTTTTAAAATTATTATTAAATTATCATTTATTAATTGCCTAATTTAAATTTCTAATAAAGAAAATGTAAAAATTAAAAATGCGAATTGAGAAATTTTACTTCTTAAATTAATTTTTAATTTGCAATTAAGATAGAATTAAAAATAAAAAATCTCAAATTAATTTTAATTTGTAAAAAAACGATCTAGAATAAAAAAAATTTTGAAATTTGAAGACAAGGCGAATTAATTTGACTTGTGAAATCAATTTTTAATTTGCCATAAAAAGAAAGTAAAAATTGAAAGAAAATAACATGAAAAAACAAAAAATAACGTGAATTTTAATTTTTAATTAAAAATATAAGTAAAAGTTGAAGAAAATTTGTTGAAATTAAAGAATTAGGAATTAAAGAAATTGACTTGTTGAATAAATTATAATTTATGCAGTAAAATGAACTAAAAATTTTTAAAAAAGTGAAATTAATTTTATTTTACATTAACGATGAGGTAGAAATTGGAAAAAAGTAAAATTAATTTCAATTTGCATTAAAAATAAATTCAAAATTGAAAACAAGACAAATTAATTTTAATTTGTATTAAAAATGAATTAAGAACTAAAAAAAACTCAAATTAATTATAATTTGCATTAAAAATTAATGAAAAATTGAAAAAAATTGTTTGATTTTAAAAAAAGATAAATTAAAGAATTGAATTGCAGTAAAAATTAAGTAAAAAAAATTAAAGAAACTCAATTTAATTTTAAATTGCATTAAAAATGAATTAAACTTGAAGAAAACTCAAATGAATTGCGATTTACATTTTTAAGATAATGTAAAAATTGATGAAATTTGTTAAAATTGAAAAAAAAATTTAAAATTTTAATACTGAAGAATTGGATTTGTCAAATTAATTTTAATTTGCTTTAAAAATGAAGTAAAAATGGGAAAAAAGTCAAATAAATTTTAAATTTGCAATAAAAGTTGAAAACAAAGCAAATTAATTTTAATTTGTATTAAAAATGATTTAAGAACTGAAAAAAACTCAAATTAATTATAATTTGCATTAAAAACGAATTTAAAATTGAAAAAATTGTTTGAAATTGAAAAAAGATAAATTAAAAAATTGAATTGCAGTAAAAATTAAATAAAAATTGAAGAAACTCAATTTAATTTTAAATTGCATTAAAAATGAATTAAAGTTGAAGAAAAATCAAATGAATTTCAATTTACATTTAAAATGATGTATAAATTCATGAAATTTGTTGAAATTGAAAAAAAGTTTAAAAGCTTAATACCGAAGAATTGGATTTGTCAAATTAATTTTAATTTGCATTAAAAAAATGAAGTAAAAATTGGAAAAACGTCAAATAAATTTTAAATTTGCATTAAAAATTGAAAAGAAGGAAAATTAATTTTAATTTGTATTAAAAATAAATAAAAATTTTTAAAAAACTCAAATTAATTAAAATTTGAATTAAAAATGAATTAAAAATTCAAAAAAATTGATTCAAATTGAAAAAAAGATTAATTAAAGAATTGAATAATTGCAGTAAGATTTGAAGAAAATCAATTTAATTTTAAATTGCATTAAAAATTAATTAAACTTGAAGAAAACTCAAATGAATTTCAATTTACATTCAAAATGATGTAAAAATTGATGAAATTTGTTGAAATTGAAAATAAGTTTGAAAGTTTAATTGTATTTGTGAAATTAATTTTAATTTGCATTAAAGATGAAGTAAAAATTGAAAAAAAGTCAAATAAATTTTAAATTTGCATTGAAAAATGAAAAAAAGGCAAATTAATTTTAATTTGTATTAAAAATAAATAAAAAATTTAAAAAAACTCAAATTAATTAAAATTTGTCATAAAAATGAATTAAAAATTCAAAAAATTGATTCCAATTCACAAAAAAACAATTAATGAATTAAATTGTATTAAATAAGTGAATTATCTTAAAAAAACGTTGATTAATTTTAATTTATATTAAAAATGAAGTAAAAATTGAAAAAATTTGTTAAATCAAAAAGAAGTCAAACCAAATAAATTGGAGTCAAATTAATTTCAATTTGCATTAAAGACAAAGTGAAAATTCAAAAAAACCTCAAATTAATTTCAAACTATAATTAAAAACTAAACTAAAAATCCATAAAACAAAAACTCACCCATAATTGTGTGCCACCAAAACGCATTTCTGCTCCGGTTTAAATGCATAATGATGTAAAACCAAATCAAGATCCTGCAGTAATTTCTCAAAATGATAATCTCTCGATCGATTTGGCGCCGAACTCATTCCATGACCCAATAAATCAGGTGCAACACAGGGATATCCTAAATTTGAAAAATATTCCAATTGATGTGCAAATATTTCAGCCGACGAACCAAAACCATGTATAAATACAATTGTCGGTTTACGATTCCTACGAAAAACAACAAAATCATTTGGATCCGAGCACAATGATTCTACAGCAGTTGAATTATTATTAGGCACATCAAAATTTGTCCATTGTTTTTTCCTATAATCCTTTAATTCAAGTGGCGATGATGATGATGACGATGATGTTAGATTTGCTGTACATTTTAATGTTCGATGATTTTTATTTGTATTATTGAAACGATTCACTAATTTTTCTTTGAGTACGGACATTCGTTTTGTCTTTGCCTTTGGAGTACTTGTACTTTCTTTAAATTCTAATCGAAGCCTCTCAAAACTTTGATCGTCAACGAGATCTTCGAGTTCGCGAAAATCCTCTGGTATTGAATCAACAGTGTCGAGGGTAATCGTCGATTTTTCTAGGGTTTCAGTCTTTTTTGTTTCGAAAGGCTTTTTTTCAATACTTTGGGGGGTTTTTACTTCTTCTTTTTGTTCCTTTGCTTTGTCTCTACTTTCCTCCGTACTTTTCGATTTTCTTTCCTTTTTTTCTTCTTCGGTATAGTTCGCCTCGTTTTCTCTACTTTTCTCTGTACTTTTCGCTTTTTTTTCTTTTTCTTCTTCTTCAGTACTTTTCGCCTCGTTTTCTCTACTTTTTTCTATACTTTTCGCTTTTCTTTCTTCTTTTTCTTCTTCTGTACTTTTCGCCTTTGTTTCTTTTTCTTCGTCTTCTGTACTTTTCGCCTTTTTTTCTCCTTTTTCTTCGTCTTCTGTACTTTTCGCCTCGATTTCTCCCTTTTCCCCGTTTAGCTTCGATTTCTCCCCACTATCCTCGACTTGTTTATCAATTTTTTCAAATTGATCCAAATGCTCCCAACTTTTGCCGACTGGCGTCCGACCCAATTTGGCGTCGATTATCTCCAAGAGAGATTCCTCTAAACTCGGTTCCTGTTCCTGTTGAAGTTCGACAGTTTCAACGCTGTTAATTCCCGAATCAATGCAATCCAATTGTTCGAGAATAATTTCCGAGCCAAGTTGACGACGTAGATAGAAATTTAGGGCGTCGGGTTCCTGAGTTGTGCCATCGAAAGCAGGATTCACGTAGCCACTCGTCGATGATGATTGAAAAGTTGTTATTTCACTTTTTTCATCGGGAAAGGCAAAATTAATTTCAAATTTGTCAATTTTCAAATTTTCTGAATTTTCCGAATTTTCTTTTTCCCTAAGACACTTCTTCTTATTATTATTGTCATTAATAATAATATTTTCAGTTGATCTGCAGCACTTCCTGCCCAAGGAATTCCCAGCCTCGGATATGAATTTGATCGTGTCGCTCATAATCTCTTCTAGAAGGTCGTTTATGTAACTGTAGCGAAAAAGAAAAAAAACAAAACAAATCAGTAGTGTTATATTTAAAATAGATATATTTCTGTCTTTTAAATTTGTGAAAAATAAAAATTTTCATTCTTCTGCAAATATAATAATACAGTAGCGGTTAAAAATTTAAATTATATATAAACGAAAATTGGACTACTATAGCTATTGTTTGTTGGAAAAAAAAATTCCACAATTTTAGTTGGAAGAAGAAAATTTTTAATTATTGTCACGTTTTTCAGTGTATAATAATTTATTGCATAAATGTTACATAATTTGAGACAGAAAATAATAAAACTAGTTCTAAATTCGTTTTTTTTTATTTCTTATTTATATTTGCATTTATTTATTATATTCTTTATTTTTCAATCAAATTTCAAATAAAAAAATATCAAATTTCAAAAGAAAGAGAAAAAATTTTCTTTAAAATTCTATTCAAAACAATTAAATTGTTCTGAAGAATTTTATTAATTAGGAAAATAATTTAACCCTTTCAAGGAATTTAATAAAAAAATTGTAATGAACGTAATGAAATTCAAATAAACAAAATTTTAACACAACTTTTTTAAATAATAATTTTATTATAATTATAAAGATAATTCAATTCTTTATAGGGAAATTTTATTGAATTTGTATTAAAAATAATTGAATTTCTGTGAGGAATTGTTCTATTTATGGAAATAATTGAATTCCAGTGAAGAATTTTATTATTTATAAAAATAATTGAATTTATGCGAAGAATTTTATTATTTATTGAAATAATTGAATTCCAACGAAGAATTTTGTATTATTTTATGATAATAATTGAATTCTTTCGGGAAATTTTATTCAAAATAATCAAATTCCCCTGAAGAATCTAGTTCATTAAGAAAATAATTGAATTCATGCCAACAATTTTATTATTTATGAAAATAAATGAAATTTTTCGAAAACTTTTATTGAAGTTTATTCAAAATAATTGAATTCTTCTAAAGAATTTTGTTAACTAGGAAAATAATTTAATTCTTTCAAGGAAATCATTTAAAAATTGTAATGAACATAATTAATTTCTAATAAATAAACTTTAACACAATTTTTGAAAATAATTACATTTTTTTGGAAAATTTTTTATTAAAATTATATGGAAAATAATTATGGATCCTTTGTGAAAAGTATTATTAGTTATAAAAATAATTCAATTCTTTCGGAAAATTTTATTGAAATTGTATTGAAAATAATTGAATTCCTGTAAAGAATTTTATTATTTAGAAAATTAATTCTTTATTAATATTTTCGAAAATAATTGAATTATTTTCAAGAATTTTACTATTATTTGTAAAAATAATTGAATTTTCACGAAAAATTTTATTAAAATCTTATTAAATTAATTCAATTCATGGGAAAAATTTTACTAGTTATGAAAATAATTGAATTTTTTTGGGAAATTTTATTAAAATTGTATTAAAAATAATTGAATTTCTGTAAAGAGTTTTAGTCAAATTAATTTTAAAATTTACCAAAAGAATTCAATTATTTTTATAACTAATAAAATTTTTCAAAGGAATTCAATTATTCTAAACAATTTTATTAATATTTTCGAAAATAATTGAATTTATTATTTTCAAGAATTTTACTATTATTTTTAAAAATAATTGAATTTTCACGAAAAATTTTATTAAAATCTTATTGAATTAATTCAATTCCTGGGAAAAATTTTACTAGGTTATGAAAATAATTTAATTTTTTCGGGAAATTTTTTTAAAATTGTTTTAAAAATAATTGAATTTCTGTAAAGAATTTTAGTCAAATTAATATTAAAACTTCCCAAAAGAATTCAATTATTTTTATAACTAATTTTTACTATTATTTTTAAAAATAATTGAATTTTCACGAGAAATTTTATTAAAATCTTATTGAATTAATTCATTTCCTAGGAAAAATTTTACTAGCTTTCTGAGAATAATTGAATTTTTTCAGGAAATTTTATTAAAATTGTATTAAAAATAATTGAATTTCTGTCAAGATATTTTAGTCAAATTAATATTAAAATTTTCCAAAAGAATTCAATTATTTTTATAACGAATTGAATTCTATTAAAATCTTTTTGATTTAATTCAATTCCTGTGAAAATTTTTTTATTTTATTTGTTATGAAAATAATTGAATTCTTTTGGGAATTTTTATTAAAATTGTATTGAAAATAATTAAATTTCTGTAGGTAATAAATTTTTATTATTTATAAAAATAATTGAATTTTACGAAAAATTTTATTATTTATAAAAATAATTGAATCCTTGCGAAGAATCTTATTGAAATTTTTTATGGAATTCAATACAAATTATATTCAAAATAATTGAATTCTCATATAAAGAATTTTAGTCAAATTGATATTAAAATTTACCTAAATAATTCAATTATTTTTATAACTAATAAACTTTTTCCCAGGAAGAATTGATTTTAAGAAGGCTTTCAATTTGAAATTTGTGAAAAAGTCAAAATTTTGTTTGGTAATCAAGGAAAAACAAAACAAATTGTTCCGTGCAACCCTAAGTACTGAATTTCCAAAAGAAATGAAAAAATATACTAAATTTTAAAAAAGAAAACAAGAAAATACCAAATTTCCCAAAAGAAAAGGAAAAAATGCCAAATTTCAAGAAAGAAAAGTAAAAAATAAGAAGTTTGACAATAGAAAAGAAAAGAATAATAAATTTCAAAAGAAAGGGAAAAAAATACGAAATTTAACAAAAGAACAGACAAGAAATTAAAAATACCAAATACCTTTCTAAATCACGAACAATTTTATTTTTAACAGCCACCTCATCAACATCATCATCATCACAACACAATTTTTGTTGTTGTTGTTGTTGTTGTTGCTGCAGTGATTTCTCAAAAATTTTCTCATCCCTAATTTTTGTCTCAGCATCAGCATTGTTGACCCTCAAATTTTCCAATGTTATTGAGAGTCTCTTTTCAATTTCAGCAATGTCCTCTCCTGTTTTCGCCTCACAAAGACTCGTTCTAATTCGATTAATCTCTGCAGAAATAATTTGCTCCTCAGTGGTGCTCAGTCTACTAATATTATTCGATTGTCGAAATGAACATCGACAATTGCCCGATGGATGTGGCCTCCTCGACCAACGTGAAAAAAAATTATCATTCACCGATTCCGGTCTATCGTGATCGCTCGTCTCATAAAATCTACCACTTTTCAACGCCGGTCTCAATATTCTCAATGTTCGCCTCGGTTCAACAAAAAAAAAATCACACTCCGGCAATTCCACTTTTCCCGGACCAATGCGATTTCGATTTCGCAAATATTCAAAACACTTCGAATACCATGGTGGCATCGATCTTGTTTCCATTTCATTGTCCATTGTCACTTATTAAAAAACACTCATTAAAAATCTTGAAAAGATCTTGAAAATTTCTTCGGGGGGGGGGGGGACTAGATCAAAAATTGTTTTTTTTCTTCTTCATTTGTAGATTTTTTTTAAATTAGAAACTGCTGGGAAAATGTACATTTTTTTTTGTTGTGGAATGAAAAATTTCCAATGTTGCGGTTTTATTCTTTTTTCGTATTGTTAGTTTTGTGTTTTGTTGTTATTTTTTTTTTTTTTTTGGTTTTTTCTAAATTCTTGTAAAATCAGCCTTGACCGGTTATGGAGGAATAAAAGACTACCGCGCTTTTCAAGTGGCTCGGGAAGAACTGGAAAAAACGAAAGTATTATAACGTTACGCATGCTCTCCCCATTCACGCTACGATGCCTCATTCAATTCAACAAACGAAGATCAGGAATTTATTATCCGATTCTTATTTACACTTATAATTAATCGGGTAAAAGTTTGCTGTTGAGATTTTCTTTCTTTATAAAGGAATAATATTCTCGGCATTTTGCATTTTCTTTCCTCTTTTTGGAAATTTTCCCCTGTTTTTGGTTCTGTTTTATCTTCTTCTTCGTTTTCTTCTTCTGTTTCTACTTCTACTGCTACTTCTTCTGTTACTACTTCTTCTTCTTCTGTTACTACTTTTGCTACTTCTTCTTCTTCTTTTACTACTTCTGCTACTTTTTCTTCTTCTACTTCTGTTACTGCTACTACTTCTTCTTTTTCTGATTCTGTTACTACTTCTTCTTCTCTTTCTTCTTCTGCTTCTGTTATTACTACTACTTCTTCTTTTTCAACTTCCGCTACTGTTTTTTCTTCTGCTTCTATTACTACTGTTTCTTCTTTTTTTCTTCTGCTTCTGTTACTACTTCTTCTTTTTCTACTTTTTTTGTTTCTACTTCTACTTTTTCTTCTTCTTCTTCTTCTACTACTACTTCCTCCTTTTTTTTTCTACCAGAAAAAAAGTCGCTATTTTTAACATTAATTTGAAAATTACTTATCGAAGCCTCTGAAAATATCTTCTAAATCTTCAATCTAGAAGTGAAGTTGAACTTTTCTATTCTATTTAGTTTCCTTAGGATCGTCTTTGTACTCGCAGGAATGTTCTAAGCAACAAACGATGAGTCGTCATTTCTTCTCTCTTTTTGGTAGCAGATATTTGAATATTTTCAAATAATTGTATTTGATTCGAATAATTAAATTATATATGCGATTGAAACAATTTTTTTTATATTTGATTCAAGTAATTATATTTGAGCTAAAGAATTTTATTTGATCGAAATATTTATATTTGACCGAAATAATTAATTTCATATAATTATAACTGAATCGAAAAATAATTATTTTCGAATTATAAAATAATTATATTCGAATTTTGTAAACCGCATATATTATGAATTTTCTCTTCAAAATACAAATATTATTTGCATATTTTTCAAAATCGCGATTATTTGAAAAAAATGTCTCTCAGTCTTGAAAAAATATTCCTCGTGACTAATAATAAATTCTCGATAACAAATTCTCGTTCTCTTAATTCTCTAATTCTTTAATTGTTTTCACTTTTAAATTATTTAAATTTAACAATTTTTAACTTTTTGATGATTGTTCAATAAAAATTGTTCATTGTCCAACAAAAACATTATTTACACGCGCACAAAAATTTTTTTATTACAAATTGTCTTTAGCAATTTTTTTTCCGTAAATTATTCTCGTTCGAAAATTGTTTTTTTTGTTTTATTCTTTTTCAGTTTTATTGTTTATTGTTTTATTGCTCTTCAGTTTTATTGTTTTTTATTTTATTGTTTCATCGTTTTAATTGTTTTTGTTTTATAGTTTATTATTATTATTTTTTTTTGTTTTTATTGTATTTTTTAAAATTGGTTTTAAATTGTCATTAAAAATTTCTTTTTTCGCGAATTATTCCCGTTTTGAGTATTGTTTCTCACTATATATATGGACGAGGAGAAAAATTGTTGTTGGTATTATACAGGTGCGGAAATTGTGTGAATCATAGGGCGCGCGTTGGCGTGACGCGACAGCAAATATCATCTGCTTGACGAGACCTTTTTGACGTTTCGGCACAATTATTGCTCCTCGTCACTCTCTCTTGTCGTTCACAAGTGCCAATTCGTCGACGATGTGAGGAGTCTATTATTCAAACGTTAAATTACATCTATAGAGTATTTTTTTCATTCCGCTTATATATATATGGCTGCTGACGGGTACACAACTTGTTGCATCGACAGGGTCGCTCAACTTGAATGTTTACATTCTTCTTTTTTTCAAACGAAAAAAAACAGATTTTCTTCTCTCTTCTTTCTTCTTGAAAATTTTGTTCCGAATTTTTTTTTTTTTTTTTTGTTCGTCTCGAATTTTCTGCTTTTGTAATTTTTTCACCTTTGGATTTTGTTAGTCTTTTGGAGGAACTTTTGTAAATTTATTTTGTAAGTTTTAACTTTTGTAAATTTTTTTTGTAATTTTTAACTTTTGTAACTTTAGTTTGTAACTTTTAACTTTCTTCACTCTAAACTTTTGTAACTTTCAATTTTTGTCACTTTTAATTTTTGTAACTTTTAATTTTTGTAACTTTTAATTCTTGTCACTTTTATAATTTTTGTAACTTTTTCTTTTGTAATTTTCAACTTTTGTACCTTTTCTTTTGTCACTTTTAACTTTTGTACTTTTTCTTTTGTAATTTTCAACTTCTGAGATTTTTTCTTTTGTAATTTTTTACTTTTGTATATCAAATATTTTCGATTTTATTTTGTGTATACAAAAAGGACAGTGTTCTTTTCGTATTATTTGCTTTTTGTACTTTTGTAATTTGTAACGTTAATTATATTTTGTTAAAAATTTTCCTCTGTGAAACGAAAAGTTGATTTTATTTTCCCTCGAAAAACGAAAAGTTGATTTTATTTTCCCTCACAAAACGAAAATTTGATTTTAATTTCTATGCGAAACAAAAAGTTGGTGTTATTTTCCTTTGTAAAACAAAAATGTTGATTTTCTTTTCCCTTGTAAACGGAAAAGTCGATTTTTAGTTTCCTTTTAGTTTTTCGATTTTTTAACGAATTGATAATTATTATTATTATAATTTTATATTTTATCGTTCAGTTTCTTAAATTTCTTCTTTTTTTTTTGTTCTGTTTCGAATAAAATTCCTCCTGTTTGTGTCTTCCTTTTTTCAATTGTGTCGTTTGTATTTTTTATTAGGTACTTTTTATTCTTCTTTAATCTCTTATTTTTATTTATTTATTTTTTCAATTGTTTCGTGTGTATTTTTTTTTATTCTTCTTTATCTTTTTTTATACTTATCTTTTATTCCTGTTTAAAAATCCTTTTTTTATGTCTTCATTTTTTTATTGGAATTATTTATTTACGTTCAAGAAAATGAGTTTATATTTTATTTGGTCAATCTTGTTATTTTTTCTCCGATGTTTTATCTGCAACAATAATTTTTCCTACTTGAACCTTTCTCTTTTTTATTTCCTTTCTGTTGTATCTTTTTATAACATTCCTATTGCATCCTTCTCTTTTACGCTTTTTCTTTAATATTCTCTTTTTCCTTCTTTGTGTATTTTTTCCCTCTTTACATATTTTTTCCTTCTTCTTATAATTTTTCCATCTTTAAATATTTTTTTCCTTCTTTAAATAATTTTTCTTCTTTACTAATTTTTTCTTTCTTCATATAATTTTTCCTTTTGTAAATAATTTTTCCTTACGTAACTAGTTTTTCCTTCTTTACAAAATTTTTTCTTGTTTCTTATAATTTTTCTTTCTGTAAATATTTTTTTCTTCTTTAAAAAATTTGTTCTTGCTTCATATAATTTTTCTTTCTTTAAATATTTTTTCCTTCTTTACAAAATTGTTTCTTGCTTCATATAATTTTTCTTTCTTTAAATATTTTTTTCTTCTTCACATAATTTTCCTTTCTTTGAATATTTTTCCTTCTTCATGCAGTTTTCCTTTCTTTAAATATTTTTTTCTTCTTCATATAATTTTTCTTCCTTTCAATATTGTTTTCTTCTTTAAATAGTTTTATTCTTTAAATTGTTTTCTTTTTCAAATATTGTTTTCTTCTTTAAATAATTTTTCTTCTTTACAAATTTTTTCCTTCCTTACTTCCTTCTTTAAACATTTTTTTCTTCTTTACGTAATTTTTTCTTCCTCTACACAATTTTCTCTTCCTTTAGAATTTTTTCCCTTTGTATATTTTTTCTTCCTTTGTTTATTTTTTCCTTATGTAATTTTTCTTTCTCTATATAATTCTTTTCTCTTTATAATTCTTCTTTCTCCATATAATTCCTCTCTCTCTCTCTCTCTTTCTTTTTATTCTTCTTTCTGCAAACAATTCTTCTTTCTCTCTCTCCCTCTCTATAATTTTTGCCTTCTTTACAAAATTTTTCCTCCTCTATATCCTTTCCTGTATTCCTTCTCCAATAAAATCCTTTCCCTTTTTCTCTCCTTCGCTATTATCATCCACTTCCTTATTCCCTTACATTTTTTCCCATTGTTTCAAAAACAAAACTAACACTCAAAAAACAATTAGATCCTCGATTTTAGTCGACAATTAGAAAATAACGATGATACAGGATATGGTGTTGAATTCGTCGTGAGATTATGTTATCAATAATGAGTAGACAGTGACAAAGGAATTTCAGCATTATGCACTATGCACTCAGCACTTGTTTTTGAATTATAAAAATTTTACACTGAGAAATTAAATATATTTTTATAATTTCGCGATTTAAACACAACAAACACAATAATATCAAGAGATTCACTTTGGAGAAATTTTAACTTTGGACACATTTTTAAATTTGTTTATTATTGTATTTTTTTTTTTTCTTTAATAAAAAAACAAACTCGTAGACTACATTTATATTTATTGTTTATACATATATAGATATATATATGTATATAATAAAAGGAGGAAAAAAAATTGTAAACGCGTTGAGAACGATCGACGTTTATATGCTTAAGATCACGGCAGCCATATAGAAGACCCAGGATCGTAGTCTGGTTAGATCAGGTGGGGCCCAATCCTCCCCCCTTTTCCCACCACCTGCTGCTGCTTTTCTCCTCTCCACCCCCCTCCACCTCTCTTTTTACCGATATACATGTATATATAATAACCCTCATTTTAAAAAGAAACCCAAAAACCTATTAAATTTACTGTTATATTTGGATAAAAGGTTTTTCATATGTGAAAACGATGTTAATTGTGATTAATTGCTTTTAATGAGATTATAAAGAATATTATGCTTGTATTGAATGTTAATTGCATTTTTCGTTATTTATTTGCCTTTTTTACTTTATCTATTTATATTTATTATTAGATTATTTATTTATTCACAATATTTGTTAATTTACTTCCATTATTTATTTACACTATTTATTTTTTAACACTATTTATTTATTTACATTATTTATTTATTTGCACTATTTATTTAAACATAATATTTATTTGCTTACATTATTCGTTTACATTATTTATTTATTTACAATATTTTTTATTTACCCTATTTGCTTACTTACTCAAATTATTTATTTACTCAAACTATTAATTTATTCACACTATTTATTTACTTATTTAACACTATTAACTTACTTTTTTACATTATTTATTAATTCACACTATTTATTTATTATTTTATTATTATTTATTATTTATTTGTTTACATTATTCACCTACTTGCACTATTTATTTATTTACATTTATTGACATTATTTAAAAATAAATAAAAGAAAATTTTAGGAAATTCTTTTTACTTAGAAAAATGTTATTTAAACTTTTATTTAATTAATAATTTTATTTTAAAAAATCAATTATTTATTTGTTTGTAAACGGGACGAGCGGTTTGAGTGCAAAAATTGATTTTCAGTTGTGACTTGAATTTGGTTTATAAAAAGACAAAAGGAACAGATTTTATTCAATGAGGTTTTGTTTTTTAAGTAACCTGTTGTGCAGCATGCTAATTACTTCTTTATTTTCAACTAAAGCATTTCCGTTCGGTCAACGGTAAATGGCGAATAGATATTAGGGCTGATTGGTACAATTACTGTTCGATGTCCCCATTTTTTTTATGCTTTAATAATTTTCAACAATAATTATAATCACTGTCAATTGAAATTTATGCGCTAATAATTTTTATAACCGAGTTATAATAGATAATTCTATTTTGCAATTTATTCGGATAATTTGACAATAGATGAATTTTATTTTCCTTTTCATATTTCTTTATTATTATTTTTCTTGTTGAATTGAAGAAAATATAACTTTTACTATAGTGATTTTTATGCAATATTTTATATTAGAAAAATAATAAATATAATTAAAGAAATCGAGATAAAAATTCTTTGATTCAAATAAATATTTACTTGAATCAACTAATTTTTTAATCAAATAATAGACGCAAGTAATCGTATATACATACTTGGATTAAAGAATTTTTATTTGAATCGAAAAAATTGCATTTGAAACAATAATTTTAGTATTTGAAGCAAATACAATTTATTTGATTTCAAAATAAAAATCAATATAAAAATTACTTGATTCAAGTAAAAATCAAGATAAAAATTATTTGATTCAAGGAAATATTTATTTGAATCAAATAATTTTTATCTCGATTTTTATTTGAATCAAATAATTTTTATCTCGATTTTTTCTTGAATCAAATCATTTTTAACTCAACTTTTATATTTAAATCAAATAAATAATAAAATTTATATATAGAAAATAATGTAAAATAATAAAAATTTACATAAAATATAATTTTTAATAAAAAAAAATAATTTCCTAATTAACTTGAGTTCATTTTTTGTGTATATAATTATATTTGAATGGTATTCTTTATATAAAAGAAATTTAGAACGAAGATCAATATTTTTAATTTAATTCTAAAGCGAACAGAAGATAACCATTAATTACCCGTCTTATTAAATTTTCCCCTTCTATTGAGTACCATTAGTGAGAATATTATAAGATTAACCATTAAAATTTTTTTCATAGGTTCGAATGGACCGTGTGAGATTTTAGGCTCATTATCGGAATGTGAAAAAAAATTTTTTTTTGAAGTATTAGATACTTTTCACAATAGAACGATTATAATACAGTGCATCGAACTTTTATAAGTTGAGTAAATCTTCTTTTAATTCTTCCATCGATTTTGTATTTATAATTCTGTAACTTGTATTTATATAGTTAATTTAATTTATTTCATAAAATTAAATATAATTTATATTTAATAAAATTTTCTCTTTTTTGATTTTAAAATATTTAATAAATAATTTTAATCAATTTTAATAAATAATTTATTTTTTTATTATTTTATTTTTATAATTTTATTTATTTTTATTTATGTATTATTATAATGTAATAAATAATAATTCTTCTGTTAATAATTCTTTTTATTTTAATTTAATCATTATTTAATGATAATAAATAATATTTAATAAGAAGTAATGAATAAGAGGAAAGTTTAAAATTTTGCGCCAATATTTAAATTGGTAATTTTTATCTCCTCCTATTGGCAGCACTTTCTACCTGAGTATAAATACAAACGAAACGCGTCTCCTCGTCCATTTTGTTGCTGGACTTAGAGCTGAAAACATCTCTCGTGAATTTTTTTCCTTTAATCAAAATTTTTACTAAAATCATGTATTTTCAATTTAGTAACGATAGTTTTTCAAACTTTGTTAGTGGAAATTTAATTAATCAGTGTTTTATTTCTAAAATAATTAATTCTACCACGAAAAAGAGAATACAACGATGAGAGGAAATCTAATGATAGCGTCCTTAATCACGTGGTGAGTAAATTTTCATTTTATGTTCTTAAATTAAAATCCATGAACATCCTTCTGAATTAATAAGTTTTTAATAAAATTTTATTGTAAATAAATTGCAAATATTCCTAATATTTCAAAACGTGGAATATTTTATTTCTTCTACTTGATTTTAATGATGAAAACTTAGTCTCGTTCGTATGAATTAATGATTACTTACATTTACTGATTTTGCAATTTTTAATTTATTTTCTATAAAGAGAAAGTTTTATTTTTTTGCTTAAAAGAGAAATTTCTTTTCTTTTAAAGGTAATTGGCGAGAATGTCGCTTTTTGTTGAAGATAAACGAAAAAGGTGATAATTTAATATTTAATAAAATATTTTTTAAAGTATAAGAAATTAGTTAAATTCTATTTTTATTATTTTTAAATGATGCTATAATAACCGCCCCAGTCTGAATTCCGTGACTGATCGGTAGATTTCTGATAAATTTTTCCATTTTGAAAAAAAATTGATTTTTAATTAATAGGCATAATTTATCAATTAAATTTGTTTATCGTTTTAGAATCCTTTCAATAAAAGGAGAGATGAACTGGAATTTCAGTGGAAAAAGAATATGGTATGTATTACGAATCTTTCGGTTCGAAAAATACTATTAACTACTTTTAAAATCCCGAAAAAATGTTTCTACAATTCTGAACGTTCAATTGAACGAAATTAATATATTTCTTCTTCAAATAAAATTTTTATTACAATAATTTTGCGTCACTGTAAAAAGAATGAATTTCAGTGTTTCTAAATGTAAAATTTTAGTTTTTTTTTACCATCAGTAATTTATAAAAATATTTCGTTCGTTTGAGCGTTCAAAACTTGAGGAACATCAAAAAAATAATTTTTTCAAGTATTTTTTTTAAAATGATGCCAAAATATCCGCCCCAGTCTGATTTCTGTGACTGTTTGGAAGTATTCTGATTAAATTTCTCTTTAGAAAAATAAATTGCACATTTTCTATTTCGTAATTCTTTTTTAACCAATTTTTCTTTTCTGTTTAGGAGATGAAATGAACTTTAAATGAAATTCATGGAATGAATGGAAACTAAAGGAGAATTCGGTTGTGGATCAAAAGGTGTGTATTGCAAAAAAAAAATGTTAATTAGCCATTTTTTTCGACTATTTAAATATTTACAAAATTGGACAGAAAAAATTAATTGTAAGAAAATAAATTTTAATTTTTAAAATGCAAAATTAAATTAATAATAAGGAAATTTTAATTTTTGATAAGAAGTTGAATTAATAATAATAAAATTTTAATTTTTTTAATTAAAAATTAAATTAATACAAGATTTGAATTTATTAACTAAGCAAATAGAAATTAAAATTTGTAATTTTTTAAATGATGCTAAAATATCCGCCCCAGTCTGAATTCTATGACTGTTTGGAGAATTCTGATAAAATTATTAAATTTTTATAACATTCTTAATTAGCTATTTTAATGTTTTAACGCATTTAATTAATAAGTTTGTCATTTTTTTTACAGATAGTCGATGTGAAGTCGGAAAATACCGTTTTCAAAAAGGATCCCAACTTTTATACGGTGTGTATTATTTAATTTTTATTTTTATGACAATTAAATTTAAGGTACAAAAATTACCGAATTTATCATTTAAATTTGTCAGTATTTTGAATTTTTTTTAAAATGATGAGCTTTTAGTTATCCCTGTCATACATAAATGTGGTGATACATTTATCTGAAATTTTTTAAAAATGACTAATTATTAATATTGTAAAAAAGAATATTTAATAACAAGTGTTTTTTTATTTCAGAGACGATTGAGTATGAGGCGAAGGACTACGAGAGATCATTAGTGGAAAATGGAAAAAGGTATATTTTTTATAATTTCCTAGTTTCGAACAATTTTTAGTTCGTATTTTATTAAAAATAAAATTATTTCGTTTATTCAACAAATTAATTCCTAATTAAGAAAATGTTTATTTTCCATAATTATAATAATTTTTGAAAATATCAAATACAAAAGATTTCAAATTTATCGGAAAATATTTAAATTTTGAAAAAAATTTCGTTTATTTACATTTAATTATATTATTTTTACTTAAAATGTTAATTTTTATTTTTATAAACAATATTTTTTATAAATAGTTACAAAATGATGTAAAATAATTTGACAAGCATATGACTGAACATATTTGATGTCACACTTTTAACTGATCTCTCCCATAATTTTGAATTTTACTTTTGAAAAATTGCTCCAAACAGAAATTTTATAAATTATCTTTTCTTTTCACAGTTTCTCCTTTTGCTGCGAACTCGGAAATTGTAATTTTTCATCAATCAGCCAGTGAATAAGGTAATTTTTCAAAAATTTCAAATTTCTTGATTTTTTACAATTTCATATCAAGATGATGTTACAAAATTATACGCTATTATGATACCGCATGATTCGCACTTGCCCTCACTGATTATTAGTACAAAATATCAAATTATTTTACCACTTTCCATCTGGAATTTGTCTTAAAATTTTCATTTTTCTTTGTTTCAGATTTATTCTACCGCTACAAGAATATTCTCAAAACGAAAAATTCTATGGAACAATTTCTATATCAATATTTCTATGTAAGTTTAATTTATATCGCATCCTACAATTACATTTTATAATTAATATTAATAATTAAAATTAATATTGATTATTTAATTTAATAATTAGTATTTTATAAATAAATATCGTATAAAAATTTTGTTATTTGCATTCTACACTGGAAAAAAATTGTCTTTATCAAATAATTTTCATTTACAGTCGAATCTGTTGGAATGGAACTCTATTTAAAAAAATTTTTTTTATATTTAAAAATGTCCAAGAATTATTTTCACTTAGTTACAGAATATTGTAAAAATATTACAAAATTATAAAAAAAAAAAATTCTTGGTGTTTACTGTTATAAAATTTTTAAAATCGAGTTGCATTTCGACAGGTTTCACTGTAAATCAATTAAATAATTTGCTTGAAATTATTGATACAATTTATTTTGCTTTGAATAGAATAATTTAAGGTACAAAAAATTTTGCTTTAAATAAAAATTATTCGATTCAAGTAAAATATTTTTTTGATAGACAATTCATTGGTTATTTGAATTAAATATTTTTTCAGTGTATTAAAAATATGATGTTTTAATATACGCAATGAATTTCTGTGAACTCAACTCATTTCTGAATTTTTATACAAAATTTATCAAGTATTTTGATTAATAAGACGTAATTTAACAGAAAATTTCTTTCATTTTCAGTTGTGGATCCAAGTCGCGGCCCTTTTAGAAATAGTGATGTAGATTGAATTTTAATATTTGTGTATTAATTCGAAATTTATTTTCCAAGTGAATTTCGAATTATCGAAGGAGACATTTTTCCTTTAATAAATGAATTCTTGATAAATGATGGTATTTCTTAATCTCCTCTAAGTTTTTTTTTACAACTCTATAACAATTTTAACTATTAAAATTGTATTTTTATTTATTTTTCGTTTTTTATACTTTAAATATTTTATGTTTTTATATTTTGATTTTAGTTATTTTCTATTTTCTATTTCTCAATTTATTTAATTATCTATTAATTTATCATCCTTTAAAAATTAAATTTGCATAGAAAAAATATTTACTGGAAGCAGTTAAAAAAAATTAATTCAGAGAAACGTTTTTATTAAATAAAAACAGAAAGAAAAAATATTCGCCTGCTTTCAGTAAAATTCTAATAAATGGAAATGAAAATCCATTTTCTAATAATATTATAACGCCTTTGATTCTTGATATATCCGTCTGTATATCTATAAATTTATATCTTTGTGATTGATAAAGTTTCATATATAGTGCACACTTTCATTTCTCCTGTGACCGTGAGAAAATAATACATAAAATAGGGCTAAAAGTCGTTTCATTGAATATATCACGAAATATTTAGTTTACTCTTTACTTTAAAATGCCCAGTAGAGTCGGAAATTTACATTTTCACATATACAGGTTCGCACATATTAAATTTCAACTGTGCTGTGAATGTTGCAAAAAAAAAACGAAAAATGAAATTATTAGACCAGTGTATCTTAAATTTCACATGTGCATGAAATTCAAACCACGTGATACAATATACATAATATAATTCTATTAATCAGTTTTAAAATTTTTGGCATTTGTAAATAATAATTTTTATAATTTAAATTCAAAAGGATTAAATTTTTACAAAGGTGAAACGATGGTTTTGAATTTTTAGTACCTTTTAAATTTAAAATTGAATTAAATCAAAAACTTCTTTTGATCGACATGTTTTGAACGTTCGAATGAGTGAAATATTTTTTATTTCAAATATTACTGATTGTAATGAAAGTTAAAAAACTAAATTTAAAATTTATAGAAACTTTATAATTAATTTTCCTCTTTTGCTACTCGACGCAAAATTATTGTAATTAAAATTTTATTTGAAGAAGAAACAAATAAATCTCGTTCATTTGAACGTTCGTAACTTTAGAATCATTAAACTATTAAAATTCAATTCAATTAAAAAATTGCATTGAATTGAATTGAATTTTTCAATTGAATTGAATTGAATTCCAAGAGAAATTGAAATTATGAATTAGAAATTCAATTAAAAAATGCTTAAAATTGAATTTCTATTTTTTAATTAAATTTAATTTCAATTTCTTAATTGAATTGAATTAAATTCCAAGAGAAATTGGAATAAAGAATTAGAAATTGAAATTCAATTCAATTAAAAAATTGAAAATTTTTTTAATTTAATTTCAAATTTTTAATAAATTGAATTTTATTTAATTTTCTTAATTGAATTGAATTAAATTCCAAGAGAAATTGGAATAAAGAATTAGAAATTGAAATTCAATTCAATTAAAAAATTGAAAAATTTTTTTAATTTAATTTTAATTTTTTAATTGAATTTTATTTAATTTTTTTAATTGAATTGAATTAAATTCCAAGAGAAATTGGAATTAAGAATTAGAAATTCAATTCAATTAAAAAATTGAAAAAATTTTTAAATTGAATTTCAATTTTTTAATTGAATTTTATTTTACTTTCTTATTTGAATTTAATTTTAATTTCTTAATTAAATTGAATTAAATTCCAAGAGAAATTGGAATTAAGAATTAAAAATTGAATTTCAATTTTTTAATTGAATTTTATTTAATTTTCTTAATTAAATTAAATTTCAATTTCTTAATTGAATTGAATTAAATTCCAAGAGAAATTGGAATTAAGAGTTAGAAATTGAAATTTAGTTTTATTAAAAAATTGAAATTCAATTCAATTTAAAAATTCAAATCAAATTAAATAAAAATTCAATTCAATTAAAAAATAAAAATTAAATTAAAATATAAATCAAATCAGTTAAAAAATAAAAATTCAATTCAAGTAAAAAATTAAAATTCAATTCAATTAGGATTAAATTGAAAGTCAAGACTTAAAATTTTACATATTCAATTATTTATATCCTCGCAAATTTATTTCATTGTGTAAATTAAAACGAGTTACTTTCATTATCACTTCTAGGAGTTTTTGTCCATTAAACAAGTTTTTCTGAGAAATGGAATACAATTTTCAATTCGCAGAAAACATTAACTAATTATAATAATTATTCATAGGTATGTATATACTTTTTTATATGTTTTAAATATTTTAGGTAAAAAAAAACTCATTTGCGGGTAATTTTCATTAAATTTTATTAAGAAACTGAAGAATTTGGGTGAAAATGCAGAAAATTAGTAGTTGTGCTATAACTATTAACTCATCGATAGATGTTTTGTTGAATATAAAGAATAAAAATTCGTTACGGTACATTTCTTTGTGTAACAGGTCATAGTGTTAGTAGTCTTTATACTTAAAGGTAGTAGACAATATCGCTTCTAATGATCTAATAGGAAACTGTTGACTTTTACTTTGTTTGAACAGCAATCATTTCGTTTCACACGAAATAATCATTATACTAAACTTCAATACTGCAATGTGAATTTGTTATTGCAATTGTTATTTATAATAATTTACCTATTTGCATAAATAATTAATTTTTATTGTTTAAATAATTTATTAATTTATTATTTATAAAAAATAATTTATTGTTTACATAAATAATTTATTTATTATTTACATAAAACAAGCAATTAAATTATTTACACAATTAATTTATTTATTACTTACATGAATTAGCAATTAATTTATTATTTGTGTAAATAATTCATTTTTTTTGTTGTTAAAATAAATAATTCAATAATTTACTATATTTACAAAATATAATTAATTTATTGTTTATATAAAATAAGAAATTAATTTATCCACATGAATAATTAATTTATTTATTGTTTACATAAATAATTTGTGAAGTTTGTGAAGTTCACAACGTTTATGATCCAACGATTGTAAGAATAAAATATTTTTTACTCAAAAAACAATAGTTTTTGTTTACAAATTTTTATTTTTTGAATTTGTTGATGAATAATTGAATGTCAAATTTCCAGTCAAAAATTTGAAGAGTAAAATATTTTTTTCTTTTCAAATAAAAAAAATTAACGTAGGGACTCAATTAAAATAAAATTAACTAAAATTAATAAAAGAATTTAAATAAAAATTAATTAATTAATTAAAAAAAAATAATTAGAGTTTAAATTAATTGATTGTTTAAAAATTTTTGATGTAGTTTTATTATATTTTATATTTATATTTATTTAATTATTATTTATAATAATAATAATAATATAATAATAATTATAATTAAATAATTTTTTTGTAGTTCTAGTTTTTTAGTTCTTGCAAGGGTTAAGAAAAAAACTTAATTTCTTTTCATTTTTTTTTTATTTTATAGGTTTATATTTTACAGTTCTTGACAGTTTTTTTTAACCCCTTGCAAGATAACCCTGATCGCATTGCATAATTTACATGCGGTCTCGAATAATTTAAATAAACACAAGTTTATCATAAAATCGTAAATCTATTATCCACATTGCTAAATATAGAATTTTACTTTCCGATTTAAAACAAATCACAATTTTTAGTATATCATTTAATACCTGAACGAGAAAAGAATTCCTAGAGATTAATCTTTTTAATTTTCAACGTCAATGGTCATTCAATTTTTTTCCGTTTTCAAAAATTAATTTTCTATTCATTACTTTTTATTATAACTAATTAATTAATTTCTATTATTTATTTTTAATAAATTAATTTTCTATTATTTATTTTCAATTAATTAATTTTCTATTATTTATTTTCAATTAATTAATTAATTTTCTGTTAATAAATTTTCTAATAATTAAATTTTCTGTTAATTAATTTTCTATTAGTTAGTTTTCTAAAAATTAATTTTTTACTATTTATTTTCAATTAATTAATTTTATATTGATTCATTTTCAAATATTTAAATTTCTATTAATTTATTTTCAAACAATTAAATTTCTAATTTTCTGTTAATTAATTTTCCATTATTTATTTTCAATTGGTTAATTTTCTGTTGATTTTCAATGAATTATTTTCAATTATAATTAAATTGCATTAATTTATTTAAACATAAAATGATGAATAAACAAACGTTAAGCACACGCCTATTTCGAATGTACACAATCCCTTTCGTCCGAAAGGATCAAACTCTCTGGACCAGCAAGACTATAAGAGCTTCAATGTCTGAACAAAGTGGTACCAGTTCTTAACTTCTACCCAGAGCAAGGACAGTTCTAAATTTCAAGCGAAAGTCTGGTGTATTATTATTTGTAAGTATATCAGAGAATTAGTAGATAGATAAATTTAAAAAAAAAAAAAATAGAAAAAAGAAAAACGGAAAATGCTTCATTTGTGATTTATTGTAAGCGACATCAGGATGTTGGCCTCAAGTTCAAAGTCGAAGAGAACAACCGCGATTTTCTCACAGTGAGCGACAATATTAATTATACAAAAGAACTTCCTCAGAGTGAGGAGGGAAAAATTAGAGAAAAAAAATCGTAGTGCAAAATATTGTGAACGAGTGTCGTTTTTTAGTGTTTTTTTTTAAATAATTGGACGATTTTCATATTTTTTTTTATGAATCTTTAACGCGAGTGTTTTTTCTTCAGTATTTGTGCTTTTTTCGAACTCAATACGAGTTTTAAACAATTACTTCTTTTTCGCAAAAGTACAGTAGAACCTCGTTCAACTTTTTTCTTTCTTTTTTTTTTGGAAAGCTTCTGCCCTTATTTTTTTATTTTTTGTTCTTTTTTATTTATTATTTTTTTACTCTTATTTTTTTATTTTCTTACTGTTATTTTTTATTATATTGCATTCTTACTATTTTTTACTCATTTTTTATTTTTTTTACTCTTATTTCATTTTTTTATTTGTACTATTTTTTACTCTTATTTCTTATTTTTTATTTATTTATTTTTTTACTCTTATTTTTTTATTTTTACTATT